TGGTAAGCATTAGTGAGGCTTGGTTGTATTGCTTATGGTCATTCAGTTGAACAGTATAATTAATTGAACAGTCTGTCTTTACTCCTTTGTATCATAAACCAGAAGTCGTTATAAGTTATGTCTGGATTATCWATTGTGTTCCATCTGTCTTGGCTAATACCACATTGACTTTTGGTAAATCTATGTTAATATAATTTAACTAGCTTTCTTTTAGTTAATATTTGTATGTTTTATATATAAAAGGGTGTGTATCCTTTTATTTTTTGTAATTTTATCTAGATGTGTGTCTTAAAAGTATCATTTTTTGGATTGCATATATAAAGTTTAAAATTTTTTTGTTTTAAACTGGAGTTATAGAGGAGACAAAATTTCCTCTCATTTTGACCCCCACCCCCATCCGAGATAAGCCTGAAAATTAAATTGACCTAAGACAGATTAATGAGAGAAAACCACAGATTTATTTTATGCAAGTTGTACCTGGCACAGAAGCCCTCATAAGAATATGAAAACCCAAAGAAGCAGTTAGAGTCAGACAGAATAGTAATTCATAGAATATGATAAGGCAGAAGAGGCTTGAACTAACATAGGTAATTGGGTAGAAAAGTGACCAGAAAGGTAAGGATTAGTTTAACAAATTTGTTTGTATAAATTTTTCTTGGCTTTACTTTTCTGTACTTGATGGAAAGAATGTTACTTTCTTTGTAATAGGAAGGGCATCTTTAACATGGGAATTTCATCTTCTGCTTTTGAAAAACAGAATGGAGGCCAGAGTGATCTTAGACCTCCTTTTTATTTAAGTGASTTTAATTCAAAATGGTTTTGAAGAACAGCATATTTTAGGATGACACATTCTTAATTCATTTTCTTATATATATTAATGTAATTACTGATAACTAACTTTAAGTGTACCATCTTACTTTGTGCTTTCTGTTTGTCCCTCCTGTTCTGGGTTGAGATCTCACTCATGCTCCTTCTCTCCCTCCTGTTCTTTTGGATTTATTAAAATAAAAACATTACCTTCCCCTACCTTACTTTAATACTGATGTATTTGCTCACTGTTAAAAATGATATTCTAATTTTTATCAGCATATATTAATAATTACAGTGTGGAATGCTTTAAGTTCATTTCTACTATATTGACCACATAGCCTGTTATGTATTTTAAATTTATACATACTTAACATTATGAAACATTATTTTATATGCTTAATATATATTTAGAATTTTTAACTCTTTGATTCTTCCTATAGTCTTCCATCTTCTATATGGGATCATTTCCTTCTGAAATTCTAGTATCTTATTTAGAGAGTCTGCTGGTAACATTATATAAGTTGAGTTTTTCTTATTTTWTCCTCTTAAGATGTATTTTTCATTATTTTTAGATATATTTTTTGCTGGCTGAAGAATTCTAATTTGCATAGAGGGTTTTTTGGCCTTCTTTCCCTTTTAATATTTTTGCCTTTGATTTTAATAGCTTTCTATAGTATGTTTGGGTGTAGTTTTTTCTTTTTTCTACCAGAGTTTTTTGAATCTGTAAGTTTGATATCTTCTGTTGGTTTCAGAAAATTGTTACCTTTCTTTCTTTTTTTAAAATAACTTTTTAATTGTAGGATGGACACAGTACCTTTATTTTATTTATTTATTTTTATATGGTGCTGAGGATCAAACCTAGTGCCTCACATATGGTAGGAAAGTGCTCTTTCACTGAGCCACAACCCCAGCCCAAATTGTTACCTTTCAWTGTGCCTTATTCTGTATCTCCTCTCTTGGGAATCTGGTTACATATAATGACTTTATATATATCTTGTATATTCTTGTCCCACATCCCAATCCAATATTTTAATCTCTTTGCACTTCATTCTGAATATTTCTTATAATATAGCTTTATTTCACTAATTTTCACTTCATCAGCAACTAATTTGCTATTAAACCCATCTATTTGTTCTTAATCTCATTATAGACTTATTATTTTTAGAATTATTGGTTCTTTTTTTCAAATTTTCTGTGACTGTACTCATCTCTCACCCCAGTTTCCAATTCTCTGCTGAAATTATCAATCTTGTTTTGTAATCTTTACATGGGTATTCAGTTATTTTTAAATGTTTGGGTAATACCATCTGGCGGTTCTGCAGGTCTTTTTCTTTTCAATAGTTCAGCTATTTCTCACTTTTTAATAAATTCAAAAGTCTATACTGCTATTGTTGCTTCCTATAGGTTTTCATATGAAGACATTTGCTTATTCACTAATATATTTTTGTGATTTCTATATTTTTATATCTGGACTATTCAAATATATATATATATATATATATATGTATGTTTTCAAATATCTAATACTTTGAAGCTACCTTTGTATCTGATTTCTAATTTACTGCATTATGATCAGAGAGCCAAGTATTGTGTTGATTATTTTGCATGCTTTTGTCTGTTTGCTTTGATAACTTAAGATTTTCTCATTTATTCTTATAAATGTCATCACAGTTTGTCTAGGTGTTCTTTTTATTGATCTTCTTGGGACTTAGTGGACATTTTCAACTTGTATATTTAGTTCTTGAAAGTTCTTGGCTATTAGCTGTTACTCCCTTCCTAATTTTTCTGGATTTGTTAATTTCTAGAACTCTTACTGTATACCTATTGGAGTAACTGCATCTCTCTTTGATTTTTCAACTTTTTCTAATATGTATTTTATCATTTCTTTATAATATTCTGGGTTATTTCCTCAACCTGATCTTTATATATCAAGAAAAAGAGCTGCTCCCTAAGCTCTCGGGTCTGTGTAACAGTTGCAGTGGGTGCTCAGTGCTCTCTAGCTTCCTTAACTTCTCTTGTGATTCTTCATTAATCAGTACTTCCAATGTTTATTTCTTACCTCCACACTTGAGTATACTTTTCTCTATTTTTCATATTTTCTATCTATGAAGCAAGATTGTGTATGTGAATATATAGATATAATCATAAATGCAAAGTTATTTTTCACATGAATGGCATTTCACTGTATGTTATTTGCCAACATTTTAAGCCATTTAAAATTGTTTTATAGAAGATATCCTCCTAAGGGCTGATGTTGTGGCTCAGCAGTGGAGCGCTCTCCTAGCACCACATAAAAATAAATAAAGGTATTGTGTCCAACTACAACTAAAAAATAAATATTTTTTAAAAAAGAAGATATCCTTCTGGTTGATTTTATTTAACTGTTCAAACAATGATTATCATATACCAAAATCCATTATTCCTTACTTTGCCTACCATTTTCACTTTCTATCTAAATGCTTTTGAAATTTTGCCACTCAAGTGCTTCTGTAAAGCATCACTATAACCAATTTCTTATGCAAATGAAGCAATTATTTCCCTAGGGATCAGTTTCCCCCTTTAATCTTAATTCATTTAGAAATACAAGAGATTTTTGCTTGGTTTTATAACCATGCCTTTCCAATGTCTCATATGTCTTTTGTGGCCTTCAATTTTTCTACTGCTGTGTCCACAAAAAAAGTAAACTGACTAATTACTCTTGTTTTATGAAATCATAATTATAAAGTCCTCATGGTTTAATTAATTGCCTCTCTGTGTTGGATTTCTTGCTGATTCTGATACAAAGTTCTTCACAATATAGGTTATTAAAATTATTCTAGTCACAATTTGGAAAAAAGGTGCTATTATTTTCTCTTCTGAGCTGACCTCCAGATGCCATTGAAGATGTTAAGATACTTTTGTTGAGTTGGCAGTTGGTGTTTCATACAACTCTGCTATTTTCTTTTTCTATTCTCCTTTGAAGGRAAAATATGATTGGGTTATTTTCTAGATAAGAAGTGTTTATTTTATAGAGCATGCTGAGATGTTCTTGCTAGGTACACAGACACTAATATATCATATTTTAAAATTTTTCTGTAATTATTAAAATTATGTGGTAAAAAAGAGCATAATCAATGAAAGTTATTATACACTAATACTCTCAGAAACACCGCTGACACACATTAATTTTCAGGGCTTTTTCCGTAAAAGGTAGACACAATTCTTCCTCACATTCTACAAAATGAAACATCATATTAGGTTTTGAGTATGACTATAGCAGTGATCTATGTTTTCTTCTCCATTGCCARCATCATTAATCCCATAGTGCTCAGGGAAGGAAAAATAAATAACCTTTGACTTTCTCCTTTTTAAAAACTCCCTAAATAGGATTGTTTGAAGAAGCATCATCTATTTTTGGTCATGTTTTCAGGAGCATTGAATCTCACTTTAGAACCTGTGGAATGCATCCCCTTAAACATTAATTTTTGGTGGTCATTTGTATGTGCATCCCATGTCTTAAGGGATCCACATTACTTTGGGAAAGTGATACTCTCTACTTGATTTGGGCATTTGGCCAGAAACTAAGGTTCTCTTTTTTCTGAACATTCTTTCACATATAAAATGTACTTGGGTTACCTTTTCCTCACTCTTCCTTGTATATTTGTATGTTCTAATCAGTCTTGTTCTTAATGTATTTGCGTATTCTTTCTTCCTGAATAATTTATTATTAGCCTAAATTTCAGTCAAATATTAATACAAGAATATTTTTCTTCTCATTCCCCAATGTAGAACAATATAGTAGGAATCACTGGTGAAGAAGACCTAGGTTTCTTTTACTAACTAGCTTTGTGACCTTTTGGCAGGACTTTTTGACATTAATTTAAATAATCCATTTTTAAAAAGGATTTGAGTAAATGATCTTTAAACTTTTCTCTAGAAATGTTTTTGACTAGATATATAATTTGATAAATATGAAAATATCCACTGAGGAACTTAAACTGTATTTACTGCCTTTGGTATAAGTAGCATGTACAAAAAATATCTAGTGAGGAATGTAAACTATATTTATTGCCTTTGCTATAAGTAGCGATATTCAATTATGCATGTTAAGATTATTAAACTATAAACACATGAAACAGATTATAAGGCACAGAAAATATTTTCTTTTATAGGTATTTGCTTTCTCCTGCTGTTTTTAAACAAAGACAAAAATGCCAATACGACCAGATCTTCAGGTATGTAGTCCTGGAGAACAGAAGGAAGTCTTTTAATTCCTAAAATCATTTTTCATGTAATTGTACATATTCAGTACTATAATCTCAGTCAATCTTCATTCTCTCTTTCTCTCTCCCTCCCTCCATCTCTCTCACTACCCCCCCAACCCCCCACCCAGTACTAGGAATTGAACAACTTGGGGCTCTCAGCCACTGAGCCACAGCCACAGCCATTTTTTTTTTCTTTTTTCATTTTGAGACAGGGCCTCACCAAGTTGCTAAAGCTGGTCTGGAACTTGAAATTCTCCTGCCTTAGCCTCCCAAGCCACTGGGATTATAGCGTGCAAGATGCTATACCCAGTTTCAGTGCTATAATCTTTAGCAGTAACTAAGCTTCCCTGTTTTTATGAAATGGTTAGAGTAGATCAATTTACATAAATATTTCCTTTCATTCATTTAATAGATATGTTTTCAAAATCATATTAAAATGTAGGATATTAAAGATAATGATTCTTTATACATATACCTTTTACTTACACACTAATTTAAGTCATAGTAGTATGCCTGGATATTTTTATATCAACTTTTTAAACTTGTAGTTTAAGTTTTAATAAAATCTATTTACATTGTATATGATTCAACATCAAGTCTGCTTAGTGGTCAGCTTGAATTATGAAAACTCATTACTGAAATTATACTAAATAGCAGGGAAGGCAAGTTTTGTAAACATTATAAATATTACATAAGAGTACTATTTAAATTATATTGATTGGTATAGTTTTTAAAAGGTGTTTTTGCCTATCTTTATGCAGTTTTCTTTACTATTTAAATCACACTAAGAACTTGGTAGTCAGATATGCTAATTTTATCTATGGTATTAAAATATTATTAAAAAGTTGATTTCACTTTTTTCATCAAATTTTCATTGTGTCCAGTATAATAATGGTGACTCTAACAATAAAAGATTAATTTGGCCATATTAGTGAAATATTTTTCTTACCTAGAATTTTGTTAACAGATAAAGTTAATCTCTCAGTTACTTCAGATTTAATAGTGGGTAGGTTTTTTAAAAATTGAATTATTAGTTTGTTTGAGAGGTTTTGTGTGAAAATAATTCTCAAATTACTAGAATGCATAAGGGAACTATTTTGGTTTTGATTTAATATATGTGCCATTAACTGTATTTCTCTAGCAGTTGGAAAAGTGCGTTGATGATGCTTTAAGAAAAAATGATTTCAAACCTTTGAAAACACTTTTACAAATTGATATATGTGAAGATGTGAAGATTAAATGCAGTAAACAGTTTTTCCACAAGTTGGATGACCTTATATGCAGGGTAAATATTAATTTTTGCTTAAAGTTGTTAAAATTGTTAGATTTTTATTTTCTAGGAAGTACACCATTAGAAAAAAATGAAGAGGCTTAGGAAATATTGCTTGCAATTATATAGATAAATGTTTATTTTACCRTTTGCTTTTTTATTTTTCATTTGAGGAGTTTTAACACATTGAACTCTTACCATTATTAAATATTATGCAGTTAAATATTATGTCGTTTTCTTTACTAAGAACTTAGTAGTCAGATATGCTGGGTTTTTTGTATCTTGTGTAAAAGTATTATTTTAATAATAACATTTTARCATTGACTTCAATTTTTTTCATCAAATTTTTATTTTGTCCAGCATAATCGTGGGGGGTAAAAAAATACTGTTTACCTGTTTTTAGTTTTTAGTTTAAACAACTTGATATTTTTTAAATAAACTTATCAGCATGCTTTTATTTATTTTTTAGTTGTGAATAGACCTTTATTTTWTTTATTCAGTGCTGAGAATTGAACCCAGTGCCTCAGACATGCAAGGCAAATGCTTTACCACTGAGCTACAACCCCAGCCCTGATCAGTGCGTTTTTAATGTGACACAGTGCTTGGTGCTTTCAGAAATAAAGATGATGGTAATCTTTCAGCATTTGTGAGGATTAGAACTATAAGTATAATGCTCCTGGCACAATTTCTATTCTATACTATTTTGTTTTTATAGAAGTTTAAATATATACTTTTCATTTCAGGAACTTAATAAAAAGAATATCCAAACTGCCTCAACCATTTTGGTTTCTATTGGAAGATGTGGCAAAAATATCAGCATATTGGGACAAGCTGGGCTTCAAACCATGATAAAACAAGGACTAGTTCAAAAGATAAGTATAGAATATGTAAAATATGCATGTAAGGGAAGTATAAAAGATGTACTTTTTATTAAAATGGTCCCAACTGTCAAAAAATAAATTTAGGAGATTTATGCAAAATTTTGAAAATAAATATTTTTAAACCTTGTGGTATATGCTACAAAAGTAAAGATCACAAGGAGATTGTAGSAAAGCTCCTTGATAATCATGTGAATTTAAGGTCTGTGGTCTCCCTTTGACTTTATTTTTTATTTAACTGTTCTTAGTCACCAACTTCATTTTTGTTTTTATATTGTTTACTGACCGTCTCCTATGCCAATATTTAGGATATTATTGTCTTTATATCAATTACTGTATAACCAGTATCTTGGAYGGTGCCTGGAAAGTAGTATGTACTCAAGTAACTAAATTGACTAAAATAAAATAGTGCTGAAACTTTTCATATAGTAATGATACCAAACTTTTCATATAGTAATAATCTACATTGCAATGATAATTTATTTTCATATACTCTAACAAATGTACCTGCACTAGGAATTTGAAGGGGGAAATAAAGATCTTCTACCTAGACTTAGATTAGATTCATCCATTCCCATCTTATAGTGAGTTAACCAAAAAACAAAAATGAAGAAGATGTTTTGAAGAATGAACTTATTTTGATACAGTACTGAAATTTTTATTTTTAATGTCTCTTTTTGCCTAGGTTTACTATCTATACAAATAAAAATACATTTTCAAACTTATTAAAATGGAATTCAAATGAACTAATATGTATAATTCCTGTTTTTTTTCTACATGGTTACCTGGTTTGAAAAATCCAGAGAGATTATTCTCAGTCGAGGAAATTCAAAAGATGAAGCTGTTATAAATATGATAGAAGACTTRTTTGATCTTTTGATGGTAAAAATCACATTGATTAACTGATGTTATAAAGCATGTGTTTATTTAGAAAATCATTTGTGTTCTCTATTCGTCAATAACAGATTGATTAATGATTTGGTTGGATTAGTCTGTTTAGATYGCAAAAAACATTTCTATTGGTTTATCTGATTCAATGGTTCATTAATAAAATTTAATTATGCTATGAATTAAAATATAAATTGCCATTTTAATACAATTTTAATGATTTATATTAGAAGATAATAAATTATACATTAAATATTATTCACTTTTTTTAGGTCATACATGACATCGATGATGAAGGTAAAATAAACATTTCTGCTGCAACAATGACTTACTGTTAGTTTTAGTATAATTTTGCAAGTTTTAGTATAATTTTGCAATTCATGTAATATGTCCTAATGTTAGAAACTTTTTATCTATAAGGGATCAAAAAGATAATAAAACTTTGGATGTTGTAAGCCAAGAGAAAAACATGAGAATATTATGTAGATACTTATATAATAACAAAGAAAACAAATGTCTGCAAATGTTTTATTAATATAATTGAGAATAAAATAATTGAATTTTTTGTAGTACATAGATCTACTAATGAGAAAGATAGCATTCTTTTTTTGAGCGGGGTAACATTTCACTATTGTTTAAAGTTAGTGTGCCCTATTTTCAGAATTGATTACATATATTCATTTGCTAATGTTTACCTTCAGGAAATTTATGTATGTCAAATTAGAAAAATGTCTTTTCAAGCAGAATATATAAGTTCATAAGCATGATCTCAATTGAACATGGTTATTACTTAGAACTCATTAACAGAATTCTGTTAGGTTATTTTTTAAATATTTGCCTTTTAAAATGTCATTGCATTATAGATAATCTCTTCCAATTGAAGGCTATTGGGAAGCACCTGAGTTGCACCTATTAAAAGGACTTTGAAATAGAGAAATTTCCTTTGAATTCATATTAAGGTCCAAAAACATGGGTGGACCCATAGTTACAGTGTGGAAAAAAAATATGGCCTATAAATTTGTGTGGGAATGGAGATGTTGCTTTTTGTCATAACTTCTAATAGTTTAGGAAATGTATAAGGTAGCTTGGTATTACTTGCCACTGACAACTTTAGTTATCATTAAAACAACTTTATTGCAGTGTAAATTCATCATGAGCACTATTTGTCTTATAATTTAGGGCTCAATTCATTAAGCAGCATTTTCAACTCTACAATCAAAGCTAGTTATCAAGAGATGTTTAGTATTCAGTAATAGTAAAGATAATTCTTATTCAGAAAAAGTTTAGTCTTGGTCCTGAGTCTCAAGAGTGACTCTATTGCCACTATTAAGCCATGGGCTGCTGTGTTGTAGGGCAAGTAGCATACTTGTTTACTATTTCTAACAAAAATTCACATAACTGACAATGGCTGACTAAGACAAGAGAATGAATGAAGCTCACCTTTGGCACTGGTTCAATAAAAAATGACATTCATATGTCGTCTGTAGGTACCTGCTTATATGTAAATATAGCCATACAAAAACAGTGGGTTGGACTTAGTTGGTGTGCCATAATTTGCCAGCCCTTGATCTGATAGAATCAAGAGAATGCAGAATATGCCCTTTCACTTGTGACTAGCAAGTGTCTTGTGATAAGCAGTCAGATCAAAGTTATTTTATCTCTGTATTTTTATTGGTTGWGTAAGACTTCCCCAAGATGCCAGTTGAGTCTGGTCAATAATTTATAAATACAGCTATTTGTTATCTTCAAAGCCAAAAAGTTTTAAATTAATTGTGGTCTATTTAAATAATAATTAACACTGCCTTTTCATTGATTTGATTTTCTTAYAATTCACATAACAACCTCATCTAAATTCTTACGTTTTTAGGGGAGGAAAAAGCCCTAAAGCATCAGCAATTATATAATTGATTTTTGAAAGTAAATTATATCTTTTTATCTCAGTATATTTTATCTTCTAGTTACTTTGGAAAGTTATCCATTTTCTGTTGCAGTATTTCTGTAGTTATTTTTAAAATTTACATTATGAAATATAGCATAGCAAATTCCTGAAATGAGAAGTTGGATATGGGCTTATTTCATGCTTCTTGATGCCCTTCTTCAGAATTGCAATAATACATCCTTCCCACTAATTGATGTAAGAAAAAAAAAAACTGCCTTTTTAAAGGATTTACAATTAACATTTATCAACAATTTAACACTTTTATTCAGGTAAACAGCAAGTAGYAGAAAGTTTCGTACCTCGAATTTGTGCCCTGGTTATTGACTCAAGAGTGAATATTTGTATTCAGCAGGAGGTAAAGTTGCATTTGATTGTCTTTTAATCCTAAGAATTTCCAAGTAAAGAAATCTTACACTAATTCATCAAATTAAAGATTTATTTCATTTTAAACTAAATTAACTTTTGGAGTGTATTTATATTGACTTAATCCATTGCCTGGTATATTTCCTAAATGTAAAAAATTCATAACCATGTGGATTTATATATACATATAGTCATGCTAAAATAAATTATGTTATCAAGATATTGGGATCATTAAATATATGAATGCCAAAATAACTTATATTTGTGTCTGTTTACATACATATACCATAAGAACAAATTTAATAAGGTAATTTTTTTTGTTTCCATAGAACTTACAATAGAATAATTGCCATTTTGCAAAGGGTATAAATGCTTTAAGTACAGGAGTCATGTTATATTCTATTTTTAATATCTATGATTTGTCATTTTGTATTTAATTTTTCATATATTCTTTCTTTTATCCTGTTCCATTCCCTGTATAAAATACAGTGATTAAGATAAAAAACTTCTGAGTTTATGTGCCTGTTTATATAAATAGTTAATGTTTTACTGAGTATAAAGTTAATTCTTTTTCTTTCTTTTCTAGACCTTAAAAAAAATGAATGCCATGCTTGACAAAATGCCTCAAGATGCAAGGAAAATACTTTCTAACCAAGAAATGTTAACACTCATGTAATAATTTGTACTATATTGCTTTTATTAGTTGTTCAAGTCAAGAATTTAAAGAATGTTTTATAAGGCAATAAGGCAACCATGAGCTTGCATTAAATAATTGAAACATACACACTTTGTAGGTTTAATATATGCATGAATTTTCTGCAAAAGTTATTTATGCTAGCCAATTATAAATTTTACTGAATTCCCCAAAACATGTGGGCTTTCTATTTAATGAATACTAGTTCAGTATATAACCTATTATTTTAATTTACAGGAGTAGTATGGGTGAAAGAATTTTAGATGCTGGAGGTAAGTATATCTTTTAAGATTTTAAATAATTTCAAATTTATAAATAATACTTAATAAAATATTAGCATAATGTGACATATGAAGGAATTATAAACTCTTTATATACAATCATGCATTTTAAATTACTTTAGTATAAACAAATTCAAAAGTGTCTTTGGGACACAGATAATTTGTCATTAGATAAATATAATTTATGCCTAATGGTAATTTATGAATAATAGTTGTTTTCTAATAGTTTTGAATTACTTATGATAAACAATTCCTCAAATGGTATTTTGTGAAATTAGAAGGTCTAATATTCCTGGGATAAATAAACTTTTTTTTAAACAGTATCTTTACTAAAAGAATCTAAATTTTATTTCCAAAGTTTCCTATGAGCAAATTTTGATGTAGTTATTTACTGATTTACATAGGGTAAATCAAGGTTTAAAGTACCATGGGTTAATTATAAACATTATGTCGAAGAAAAGGAAAACAAAATTCCGTGATTCATATACTACTGTATCTGATTCATATACTACTGTTCTGCAGTTTACAACTCTAGTAAAAATAGTGAAACAGCAGAGTCTGAATATTTAGATGTTTCTTCTAAATACTTTTTGAAATTTTACTCTTCTATCAGTAATCTTGTTTTTTAAAAAATTGGACTGTTTAATTATTATAATGATAAAATGTATCTAACCCAAAAAGGAAAGTAGCAAAAGATGAATAAACTATACCAGCATTTTCATATTTCTCTTTCTGTTTCTAAAGCCTTTGAAAATGTATGTAGTTTTATAAATTAATTTTTGTAATTTCAAATCATACATTAATTTACATTTTTTTCTAGATTATGACTTGCAGGTGGGCATTGTGGAAGCTTTATGTAGAATGACCACAGAAAAACAAAGACAAGAACTGGCATGTCAGTGGTTTTCAATGGATTTTATTGCTAATGCATTTAAAGGAATTAAAGACTCTGAATTTGAAACAGTAAGTGGAATAAAAGAAATAGAAATAAGCAAGTGTTTTTGTTTGATTATGATTTTTAAAAAAGTCTTTCTCTTTTTAAAATTAGGATTGCAGGATATTTCTCAACCTTGTAAATGGCATGCTTGGAGATAAGAGAAGGTAAACTCAAAGCAACCATTTACTGATAAATAGAGCTCAAGAGGGAACATCTAGTGTTAAACCTTTATTAATATAACTTTATTTGTTCTTTTATATTTGCGTATGTAGTGAACTTGGGTGTTTAATTTAAAACAATATTTTATGTAACATCATTTAGTTAATTACTATACCAGTAATCTGAAATAATCCTTTGCTGACCTTGTTTAGCTTTCTACTTTGTGAAGAAAAAGTGCATTCCTATTTAATTCATATTAATCATTTTGTGCCTCCAAATTTCATACAGTTTTTCAGATTTGCATAGTCATTATTACTTAGTGTTTGAGGAATAATAAAAATCTAAGTATATATTTCTTAAACTGCCTCCTTCATGTACATACTAGCATGAAAGTATGAAGCAAAGACATCATCTCATTACTTTATAATTGATATATTGTTTAATCACAGGCATGAGAAAATACATAATAAATTTTTATAATGATACAACAATAGTATTTGTAATGCCTGATTTCTTAATTGATGTCGTGGATGAATTAGTTTGTATTTACTTACTAAGGAAATGAAAAATACAGTGAGGGTTAAATGCAAGAAGTCATATTACCTGGATCTAAATTGTAAGTTCACACCTTCCTTGTGTGTGTGTGTGTGTGTGTGTGTATACATATATGTATGAATATGTATACACACATCACATACCCCTCCACACACAAATTATTTAACTGTACTCCCTCAGTTTGCCTTAGCTATAAGAATACTGATAATACCTATCTTGTGTTTGTTGTGAATATTAAGTGGTATAATATGTTAAGTGTATAAAATAGTATTTGACCATGAAAGAAAACTGTAAGAAGTTATTTTTTTACTATCAGAATTATTTACTTAACTTTTACTATGGAACTTTTGTTGTATTAGTGTAGTGTAAGGAAACTTAGGAATTTATGCTCATATTTGATAGTAAACACAAAATATTTGATATAGTTACTTTGTGAAACTAGTAGGTTGAGTAGTATCCTCAAAGTAATATGCTTTTCTTTACCCAAGCAAATTTCCATTAAACACTGATGTTATAAGGTGATAGACAGGATTTCATTTAAAATGTTATGACCACTGACTGATTATTCTTTGATTCTAGGCATGAGTCTATGACTGGAGAAGATTAAGCTGTGAAGGTTTATTAACTTTTTAAACCACTTTCTATTTCAGGGTTTTTACATTTCCTTGTTTGTCAGCATTTCTTGATAAATATGAGGTAAATTTGAAATTTAAAACATGTTGTTAGATTAATTTTGGAAAGTCAAATAAATTACGGGATTTGATACAAGAAATTAATAAGCTGGTTTAGTATTTTATATGACAGTGACACCAGGAAAAATTCTGTGAAAATACAGCACATGTGTAGCTGTAACTCTACACATTTTCTCCTGTTTCCTTAATCAAGCCCATTATTTATCATTCACAAATATATTCAAACTAATATTTTCAACCTCTGTTAGTWCTTGAGTATTTGTAACTTCCTGAAGCAGGTTAATTTCTGTATAAAATATTGAACTAGGATTTTCTTTGATTCTTTATAAATGTGTTATACTCGCTGTTCTGTTCTCTTATTTCCCCTTCAAACTATACTCTTCTTTTTTCCTTCAGAAAGAATTCAGAGAACACTTTTTCTTTTTTATGGAATATAGTGTTGCTGGATTCAATTAGTTAAAAAGCCAATTAAGATAATAATTCAACCATGATATAATATAATAATTTTATGTTGTTATTTTATAAATATAGTATATACTAGTTTTATGTTCATTTTATTAGCTGCAAATACCATCAGATGAAAAACTTGAGGAATTTTGGATTGATTTTAATCTTGGGAGCCAGACGCTATCATTTTACATTGCTGGAGATAATGATGTAAGCTTTATTTCTCTTGTATTATTCTGTATTTGTATGTATGTATAAAAATTTTTATATGTACTTTTAAGAATCTACTTTAAGAATTTCTATTTTTCTGGCTATTCCTTTAATATATTTCAGTGTTAACCCTTGTAGTTTTGAGTAACATAGTAACCTACCAAGCTTATTAGAAATGAATTTTTTTCTGATGTTTTATTATAACAGGAAAATTAATCCTAAATTTTAATACTAAATTTAACATACACCTTTCAGAAATAAATTATGTTAATGCAAAATTGTACATTCACTTGAATAAAGTCAGTTGACTCTGGAAGAGACAGCAGAGGGGCCAGGGAGTATAACTCAGTGGCAGAGTGTGTGCTTAATTTGTGTTCAATCCCCAGCACAACATTATTAAAAAAGAAAAAGACAGTAACTACTCAAATACAGAGGCATTCTTTTAAAATTAACTTTAACAGATGGCAATAAAAAGAGTCATATTCATTCATAAAATATTCTATTTGAAACAGTGAGAAATTGATAGGGTAGCATTTGAAARTGAATTTGCTTAAACCTTCTAGACAGGTGGTATGTTTCCTACTGATCTTTTTACCTGAAGATAATCCTTGAGCCATTGTTTCTTAACATATTTCACCTAATATTTTGGTACACTAGCATACTTTATCTGGAATTGTGTGGTCTCATTACCAAATTCTGATTGAGACTTGATTGACATTAATCTGGTTGTGGCTGGTGATAGTATATTAAGGCTTTTACTCTGTTTCTTGATAGAATCCTGCTTTTTGTTCCAGGTAAACTCTAAGCAAACATTAGCCAAATACCTTAGAATTTCCATATATTTTCACTTTTTTTGAATTTTAGAGCACCTTTTTAGAATTCTTAATTAAAACCGAATTCCATTGATTAGCTCTACTTCTCAAGGACAGTGATAGTTTTCATTAGTGTGTTTTTGAGAGTATTTAACTGAATTTTCTTTCAGAAACTGAAATTTCATTTTGGAGAAGAGAATTTTATTAATTTAATTCTTCCCTCYATTCAGCCTGGTCTAATGAGATTCAGACCATACTATAGTATCATATATGATAGGGAAAGTACTATGCATTTATAAATTATATTTTAGACACTGATCAAGATGCTGGGGATTCTTCTCTCAAATATATTTTGAATCCTCTCACTTCTGAATTTTTATAGTAGTAGTATGTTACTATTTAAAATCATTTTGTTTATTTGTGGTTTGTTGTCCACTTTCCTCCATAGGATGTAATATTCATGAGCTATCAGGGACCTGCTTTTTCTTGTTCATAGCCATTCAAGGGCTCATRTTGATTGCCAGAGCAAATAAGTAAATAAATAGTGAAAGAACTGTATGATATATAATTTAGTGTATATAATGCATGGAGGGTTAGGAAAAATAAAGTAGTGTGGAGCCAAAGAATGATTTTAAGAGGTAACATTAATTCATTAAATATTATTAAGAACTTAACTATGTATTAGATATGTACTATGCATTCATGTATAAGATATCCCTATGGGGAGAATGTATGTTTAAGGGCCAATATCAGAGGCAATTTGGGGGCTTTTGAAATAATCCAGGTGAAAAGTCCTAATGGCATGATTTTGGGAGGTGACGGTGAGAATGGATGGATTGTAGAAAAACTGAAGGGGGGAGGTAGAATTGACAAACTTAGTGATTTGTTTTATAATAAGAATGTTTAATAAAACTTGGTTAACTAGATGGAGATACTGTCACAGGAGGGTAAGTTTTATAGGGCAAGAATGGGGAGTTCAATTTTGAATGTGTTGATTTGGAGACACTTGGATAGATCTGGTAGGCAGTAGAATATTTTGGTCCCAAGCTCAGGTCCCAAGCAGTGATCGCTAAGTAGAGTTATAGAAGCTKTCTTTATATAGATAACAAATAAAACCATAGGATTTATGAGTGTCTGTATGGAAGAATTGTGAAAAATGCATTTTTTACAAGATACAAGAATCAGCCCAAAGAGAACAAATTAAAAGGGTGTGGTGTTGTGGAAGACTAAGAAAGGAATTTTTATAATAGAACATGATCAATACCATGAAATACTCCTGTAAGGTTAAGTAAAATAAAAACTAGTGACTCACGAAAGAGAAGTTTCACTTAAGTGACGAGAGTTTAGGCATTCCTGGAAAATTGGAATTTTTGTTGAGAAGTCCCAACATCAAATTAAGGGAAAGAGCGCATAGTAGTAGGTAGAATAATGTGAATTTAAGGGAAGAGTTTTTCTATTTTTATTTTTTAGGTTCTTTATCTTAAGTATTAGAGATTTTTAAAGGTGATGATGTAAGGCAGATATTCGAGCAGGAGATGTAAGAAGAAATTGAGGTCAAGAGGAAAGCACATAAAACGGATTCAGAGGTGATGATGGAATAAGTTACCACAAAATATTAAAAACTGTTGAAGCTGGGTAAAGGCATAGTTCAGGCTTGTAATACTATGACTTTTACTTCTTAAAAAATCTAGTTTTAAATTCCTATAACTTTTTTTTTTAAATGAAGCAGTGAACGGGTATCTCAATATATGGGTAAGAGTTGCTCTCAAGTTGGTAGATGGTAATAATCAGTAGCTATAGAGTGAGGGCTGCCATTGTTAACCAGGAATGAAGGTTCTACCAAGGCTACACTAAAACCTTTCTGTCTCAAATGTCCATCTTGGAGGACTCGGCTTTTATGAAAGAGGAGGTACTGAGGGACCAAAGGCAGGAGATATACTTTGTAAATTAGCTAGCCTATGCTAGTGAGAATAAGTCAGTTTCCCTGGTGTCTTCCCTGGCTAGTAGGTGGCTCCTCAGCCTCTTTCTCTGTAGGAGGAAATCCCAGACACAGAAAAGCAGCTTCCAGGAAGTCACTTTTAATTTTAAAGGGGCTCTGTTTCATCATGTGTCTCAAAATAGCAAGGTTTGTTTTACAGAACTTTGGAGAGAGAGGAGAGTATCAATACTTTCCTCCTGACACTGGAGTTTTGAGGTATGGCTGAATTAGTTCCCTAGTTGAAGAAGGCTAGAAAGGAAGTGATGCCATTCAGGGATGACCAGTTTCAACTAAAGCAAAGAAGTGAAGAGAATTAATGAAGAGATTGAGGATTTGGAGGAATTTTCATATGTGTCTTCATTTATAAGTATTTTTCTTTAAAGAACAAATAATTAGAACAGTTTTCCTCACAAGATTTTTGGAGGATTTATGGTCCCATATTTTTAGGGCTAATATATAATTTGTACTATAACTGCAAATTTAGTATCATTTTATTTATACAGATTTTAGTAAAAAACACTTGGACAGGTACACATTATTACTTAGGCTATATTTCATGTGAGCTCAGTTTTTGAATCCAAGGATAATCAATTAATGAGTATTATGATTTACAACTAGAGATAGGTAGTAGTAGTGCAAACTGAGGAATGACTGTGACTTCACAAAATATTTCAAAGGAAGAAAAAAAGGATGTGGAAACATTTTTAAAAAGCATAACCTCAAATATTAACAGTCATTCTTTTTGGGGAGTAAGAATAAGAATTTGTAAAATTAGTACCAYCATATTATTTATATAACTTAAAAATTGATATTTAAAGATATTTTAAACTAAGAATAAACTACTGTTTATTGTCAAAACTTGTTTTTACATTTAAGGATCATCAGTGGGAAGCAGTCACTGTGCCTGAAGAAAAAGTACAAATGTACAGCATTGAAGGTACATTGAAGTATTGTCATTTATAGTTTTCTTCTTGATTCTTATCTTCTGGAATAGAACTGTATCTTCTTTGGGATAACACAGTAGAATAATGGGAACAAAATTAACATTTTCAGATGTTCACATACATAAAGTCATCAAATTTCCTACTCCACATTTCCCTCTAATCACCCAGCTCCTTCCTGTACTTATTCCCTTTTCTATATAGTCTAGAACCCATGATCAATCAGTCTGACCCCTTGCTTGTTGATATTTTCAAGGTTCCTATATTTTTATCCCATTTGCTTGATTAAATCCAAGCATCTAGTTTCTCTACTCCTTTAAGTGGAATTGTGTAATGCTGCTGGATAAAATCATGTAATTTGGCAGACTGGTGTCCTTACAAATTCAGATATTAAGACATATTTCAGTCATTTCAGTGAACATTTAGTGTTCTCTATGATTTTTATTTGCATCTCCCTAAAGTCCAATGTTGTTGAGTACTTTTCATGAGTAATAATTTTTATTGGAATATCTTTTTTCTTTTTAGTGCATTATAGTTCTACATAAGAGTGGGGCTCATTTTGACATATTCATAAGTGCATAAAACAACATTTTAAGTTGTACATATATATGTATGTATATATATAGCCAGTTGACAAAAACAATAAATAGAAGGAATACCAGTAAGAGTAGAGGAAATAGAGTACAAGAAGCAGGAAGAGGGAAGAGAGGAGGGGAAATGGAATTACTAGAGATTGGAATGTAATAAATCATATTACATGCTTGCATGAATACATCAAAAGGAACTTCATTATTTCATAAAAAATCAATAAAACATTAAAAATAACAAAAATGAAAAAATCATGTTTTAATGTATCAGAGTGCTATGGATGTAACAAGAAAAACCTTCAAGCATTTCCCGTAGGAACATTTCACCACTCTGATTGTAGGCTTAGGAAGAAAAACTCTGCTAGAGCCAAAATATTACCAGCAAATATTTAACGGATCAGTTGGGCCTGGAGTAACAGACAACTCAGAGACTTTACCACTGTAGAATGCTATAAATATAGTATGTTACAGTATGCTTATTTTAGTTCTTTTGGGTAAATACCATGGAGTGGGATAGTTGGGTCATACAATGGTTTCATATCTTTTGAGAAATCTCCATACTGCTTTCCAAAGTGGTTATACTAATTTGGACTCCCATCAACAATGCATGAATGTATCTTTCCCCCCACATTCTCACCAGCATTTATTATTTATATTCTTTTGATGATTGCCATCCTAATGGAATGAGATGAAATCTCAGTATTCCATGATTGCTAGGGATGTTGAACATTTTTTGTTTGTTGGTCATTTGTATTTCTTTTGAGAATTGTCTGTAATTATATATACAAGACCCAAAGAAAACTCAACCCAAAGACTTCTAGAGTTGATAAGCAAATTCAGAAAAGTAGCAGGATAGAGATTAAAAGAGAAAAATCAGTAGCTTTCCTATATTCAAATAATGAATTTTCTTAGAAGGAAATCAGGAACACTAGTCCATTCAACCCTGCCCCTCTTTAAAAAAAAATAGCTGGGAGTAATCTAACCAAGGAGTTGAAAAACTATAATGAAAACTAGAAAAACCCAARAAAGAAATTGAAGAAGACACAAAAAGATGGAAAAATCTCCCATGTGGTTGGAGAGGCAGAATTAATATTGCCAAAATGAACTTATTACCAAAAGCACTATACATATTCAATATATTCCTCATCAAAATACTAATAGCAAATTACAGAACTAGAAAAAACATTCCTAAAATTCATTTGGAAGAATGAAAGGCCCAGAATAGCCAAAGCAGTACTAAGCAAGAAAAGGATTACTGGAGACATCACAATACCTGATCTTAAATTATACTACCGAGCAATAGTGATAAAAACAGCATACATAGTATTGTCATTAAACATACAGAAGATCAGTGGAATAGAATAGAAGACACAGACAAATCAACAAAGTTATAGTCATCTGATACTTGCCAAAAGAGCCAAAAACGTATGTTGGATAAAAGTATCAGGTTTTCCCATCAGCATTTATTTAAAAGGCTATCTACATGTAGAGTAATGAAACTAGATTCCTATCCCTTAACCTGCACAAAAGTCAACTCAAGTGGTTCAAAGATCTTGGAATTAAGAAACTTTTCAATCGCTAGAATCAAACATAGGGTCAGCACTTCACCTTATCGGTACAGTCACTGACTTCCTCATCAAGACCCCTAAAACTCAAGTAATAAAACCCAAGAATCAATAAGTGGGATGGCATCAAATTTAAAGGCTTATGTACAACAAAGGAAACTTATAAGTATATGATGAGAGAACTTACAGAATGGGAGAGAAATATTTTCCAGCTATTCTTCTGACAGAGTATTAATATCCAGAATATATTTAAAAGTCAAAAAATCTTAACACTGATAATAACGCAATCAACAAATGGGCAAAAGAACTAAACATATATGAGTTTTAATTTTTTCCTATTATTTTCTAGGAGGATAATTTACCACATATTACTGCCATAATTTACTACATCTTACTCAAATGGAAGTCTCTAACTTTGAACTTCAGATTCTCTCACAGCTACTTGGCAGTCCTCCATGTCTATAGTGACTTTTTTTTCTGGTTCTCTAACAGCAGCTATTTACATCTTTATAAACTTAAGCTGGGTTCCCCCCCCCTTTCTTTTACTATGATGTRATAACCCAGAAAAACATGATTATTTTCAGGTAAGAAAGCCTAGAGATTTTAACTTCTTAGACCCTTAGTCTTCAAACATCTTTCTATCCTGCTTAAAAACAACAACAACAAAAAAAAACCCTCTTCTGTAGCCAGGTACAGTAGCACACCCCTATAATCCCAGTARCTTGGGAAGCTGAGAGAGGAGGATCACAAGTTTGAGGCCAACTTCAGCAACTTAGTGAGACCCTGTCTCAAAATAAAAAGGGCTGGGGATGTAACTCAGTAGTAAGGTATTCCTGGGTTCAATCCCCAATACCCTCACCCACTACAAAAAAGAAAAAAGAAAAAAATAACTGCTGTAAATGGAAGGCTACTCTTGTGGAAGGCTAATTTCTCTGAGTTCTCCATTCACATTTTTCAGTTATTTGCTCCATCAATTCATATTTCTTATATCTTCTTCCTCATTTCTCTTTTTTCAGCATACAAAAGGTGTCACATGTCTACATCTTAAAACAAAAAGCCATGTCATCTTCAGCTCTTTTCCCATTCATAAAATTTTCCCATTCATAAAATCCCATTCATTTGTTGTACATAAGACTTTAAATTTGATGCCATCCCACTTATTAACTTCTGTTCTTAATATAKTCTGTTGTATCAAGAACTCCACTGAAATTTTTTCACTACCAAGATAATAATTAACTCATAATTTTAAAAAATGTGAGTCAGTCCTCATACTGACTCACATTTGACAATGTTGGCCACAACTTTTTWAAAAATATTTTTTTCTTATTTCTCAGCTGACTCTAGATACAGATATAATGCTTTTCTACTTGGATATTTTCACAAATACCCATGTACATGAAACTGAGCTCATTATCATACTTTAAAAAGCTCCTCCTTCATTTCCTGTCTTAATAAATGGTTTGATAATCATCTAGTTTTGGCAAATATGGAAGTCGTTCTTGACTGTTTCCTCTATATAACCCACTTTCCATGATCATTCATTTTTACTTACCATCTTTTGAATGTATTCTCAGTCCCTTTGTCCCATGTTTGATTAATGTGAAGTGATGATTCCTGAGGATATTTTTATATAAAAATTAGGTATATACTTTTTAAAAGATTTTTCGAAATGACTTTGCAGGATAAAAGCATATTAACATATTCATGTAACTATAGTATGCTGGAATACCATCCATTGAATTTGATACATTAATAAAGTTCTGCTATGTTGATATACATAAATATTTAAATTTTATAGCAAATAATATAACAGGAAGTCTTTTGGAATCTCAGTAATATTGCTAACAAATTAAAAAACAAAGCAAGCCACAAACATATTCCAGGCAATTGATGCAAGTACCAGAAATTTCATGTAAGTAATCAATGAAATGTAAAAAGTACCAATGAATTTCTGTAYAGGCAGTTACAATACAAGTACACAAATCTTTGTACAGACCAGGTGTGAAATCATTCAGCAAAATCAGATTTGAAGTAATTCTCATATTCTTGTGCTTGCAAGCCACAAAAGCAAACATTACATTTAAGTTCCCAGCAAACTACAGAAAAAATGCATTATCAGAAGGATAAAACAATTAGCAAAAATATTTTATTAAGATTACAAATGTTTTAATCTTGATCATAGAAACATGAAACATTATCATCTTAAAAGCCACCTAAATTTTCATCTCTGAAACCTAAAAAATTGTTACTGTTGCGCATGACTGTTTTTAAACCACCATAACTCCTTGAGTTAGAAACTATGTCACCACTATCTTCAATCTATTAATAATTTGTACCATCAAAGGGTGAATTACTGTGGAAGTTTCACAACATATACGTGCAAAAGGACTTAAAACATTTTCTGCTTCAGCAAACTTCTTAAGAATCAGAAAATTTCATAACCCATAGGGTTATTTCATTTCTTTAGGCAGATCATGGGGTGGCCTACAGAGCTTTTTCTGAAGCAGAAATTCCATATTTTGTTTTGGTTCTTCTACCTCCACATGTTTTCTTCCTGCTCAAAAGTGTATTCTGTGGGCAGGTGTGGAGATTTCTCAGCCAACAGTAGCAGCCCTACCATAGGTAGGATAGGAGCAGTGGTGGTCCCTGAGCTGGGCCTTAGTCCATAATACAGGCAAATTAATCAGGTGCCAGGTGATTTGTAGATAACTTTTCTGGGGAGTTAAGTGGAGTACTGCTTATAAAATGTCACAGTATTTTTGCTGGATTTAAAAATTTGTTGAGCATAAGATATTTGGGGGAGATATCCTATTGATACTTATCAAATGGTATTTGTAATAACATTTATGTAAGTATATAACAACTATATTTAATAGAAATGTTTGAATAAATGCTTATGCATATAAATTTAGTACTTATTATATTTTCTTTGTTGACCTTTTTAAAAGTTAATAAAATGGCTTTCTCAAATGTATTATGAATATTTTGTTAAGAATTTCTTTTTTTTCTTTTTTTTCTTTTTTTATTGGTTGTTCAAAACATTACAAAGCTCATGACATATCATCTTTCATACATTTGATTCAAGTGAGTTATGAACTCCCATTTTTACCCCAAATACAAATTGCAGAATCACATCAGTTACACATTCACAATTTTTACATAATGCCTTATTAGTGACTGTTGTATTCTGCTGCCTTTCCTATCCCCTACTATCCCCCCTCCCCTTCCCCTCCCCTCCCATCTTCCCTCTCTACCTCATCTGCTGTTGTTCAATTCTCTCCCTTGTTCCCCCCCTTTGCCCTCACAACCTCTTATATGTAATTTTGTGTAACATTGAGGGTCTCCTACCATTTCCATACGCTTTCCCTTCTCTCTCCCTTTCTCTCCCCCCACTCGTCTCTGTTTAATGTTAATATTTTCCTCATGCTCTTCCTCCCTGTTCTGTTCTTAGTTGCTCTCTTTATATCAAAGAAGACATTTGGCATTTGTTTTTTAAGGATTGGCTAGCTTCGCTAATGCCATCCATTTCCCTGCAGATTCTATGATTTTGTCATTTTAGTGCTGCGTAATACTCCATTGTGTATAGATGCCACATTTTTTTTATCCATTTATCTATTGAAGGGCATCTAGGTTGGTTCCACAGTCTAGCTATTGTGAATCGTGCCGCTATGATCATTGATGTGGCAGTATCCCTATAGTATGCTCTTTTAAGATCCTCAGGGAATAGTCCGAGAAGGGCGATAGCTGGGTCAAATGGTGGATCCATTCCAAGCTTTCCCAGAAATCTCCATACTGCTTTTCAAATTGGCCTCACCAATTTGCAGTCCCACCAGCAGTGTACAAGTGTACCCTTTTCCCCACATCCTCGCCAACACTTATTGTTGTTTGACTTCATAATGGCTGCCAATCTTACTGGAGTGAGATGGTATCTTAGGGTGGTTTTAATTTGCATTTCTCTGACTGCTAGAGATGGTGAGCATTTTTTCATGTACTTGTTGATTGATTGTATGTCCTCCTCTGTGAAGTGTCTGTTCAGGTCCTTGGCCCATTTATTGGGTTATTTGTTATCTTATTGTTTAATTTTTTGGGTTCTTTGTATATTCTGGATATTAGGGCTCTATCTGAAGTGAGAGAGGTAAAAATTTGTTCCCAGGATGTAGGCTCTCTATTTACCTCTCTTATTGTTTCTCTTGCTGAGAAAAAACTTTTTAGTTTAAGTAAGTCCCATTTGTTTATTCTTGTTATTAACTCTTGGGCTATGGGCGTCCTATTAAGGAATTTGGAGCCCGACCCCACAGTATGTAGATTGTAGCCAACTTTTTCTTCTATCAGACGCAGTGTCTCTGATTTGATATCTAGGTCCTTGATCCATTTTGAGTTAACTTTTGTGCATGGCGAGAGAAAGGGATTCAGTTTCATTTTGTTGCATATGGATTTCCAATTTTCCCAGCACCATTTGTTGAAGATGCTATCCTTCCTCCATTGCATGCTTTTAGCCCCTTTATCAAATATAAGAAAGTTGTACTTTTGTGGATTGGTTTCTGTGTCCTCTATTCTGTACCATTGGTCCACCTGCCTGTTTTGGTACCAGTACCACGCTGTTTTTGTTACTATTGCTTTGTAGTACAGTTTGAACTCTGGTATCGCTATACCTCCAGATTCACACTTCCTGCTTAGAATTGCTTTTGCTATTCTGGGTCTTTTGTTTTCATGAAGCCTTGGCTAAAGACTTCTTCCTGCCAAGCTGCATCTCGGAGGCTAGCGGGGACTGTGGCTGGTGGATCTGGACCTCTGCGTCTTGTGGGGCAATCTGTCTCTTCAAAAAATCCTAGTAGCTCCCGGCCGTCTCTCTTCAGTGGAATTTTGCTAGGAGATTCTCCGTTGGTAGAATCTAAGCGTTATCTATGCATCTTTATGACCCCATCACTGGGGGGGGGTATTAAAACGCTGCCTCTCCACCCACCGCCATGTTGGATCTGTTAAGAATTTCTTAGAGGAGGCTGAGGATGTGGCTCAAGTGGTAGTGCACTTGGCTAGCATGCGTGAGGCACTGGGTTCAATTCTCAGCACCACATAAAAATAAAATAAAGATATTGTGTCCACCTAAAACTAAAAAATAAATATTAAAAAGAGTTTCTTAGAGTCCAGAACTATTCTATGCTCTATTTCATTAGTTATGACATTACCAAGTAATTTATAGATCTAGGACACTATGACACTGAAAGATAAATTGACTTATTTACATAGATAGGTAGTGCCAGAATTGATTAAACACTTTTTCAGTTTTAGAAGTTTTAAGTTTGATTGAATTAATTTAAATTAATATGCTGTATGTTTTTTCTTTTTTATAGTATAGAGTTATATAGAAATTAATATAAATTGTGATTTGTTTACAGTGATAGAATCAAAGAAGCTACTGACTGTAATTCTGAAAAATATAGTTAAAATTGGTAAAAGAGAAGGGAAGGAATTGCTTTTGTATTTTGATGTATCATTGGAAATCACTAATGTGACTCAAAAAATTTTTGGTGCTGATAAATATAGGGTAAGTTTTTAAACTCTTTAAATATTTATTATGTTCATAATTCTGGAAACCCAGTTTAGGGCTAAAAGTTCCATTGCTGTTTTTTCCCATTCTACATTTCTTAAAATGACATGTAGTTCTTTAAAATTGTTCTGTGGAATAGCCATCACCTAATATCCTTTGAGATGTCTATTAGAAAATATCTCAGATGACAGAATTAGCAGCAACTGCTTAGAACATTATTGAATTCCTACCATGTGTTTAAAAGTGAAATGAATCAAGCACTTCAAGATATTAAGCATTGTAAGAATTGTACCAATGATACCTCAGAAGAAGTAAGTAATTAGTCTAGGGAAAATGAATTATATATGGAAACTGAAGAAAGAGAATGATCATAAGAGGTTTGAAGGTAAGGTGTTATTGTGGAGATGGGCCTTGAATGGGCTTCAGAGTTAAAGAAAAGGATTTGGATAAGATGCTTTCCAGGATTGTGGAAGGCATTTTAAGCCAAATATTATTTAATGAGAATTTAAGGTGACAATTCATCTTAAATGAATTGGGGGAGATATCCTGTTGAAAAGTTTAGATAGTGCAGAAGATTTATGTTGAAAGATAATAGGATATATTGGTGAAGAACCCTTGTAGAGGGAACAAAATGGTAAGACAAGGTTACTAGGAAGTAATTGAAGTGTTCTGAGGAAGGGTATTTATATATATATGAGAAAAGGAAATTTTGGTAATTTGGAAGAATACAGATAGGAAATAATTGCATTAAATGGAAAGAAAATGACATTACTTTGAATTGAATTTTAGGAATTTGCCAGAAAACAAGGTATTTCAGTTGCCAAAACATCTGTGCATATACTTTTTGATGCAAGTGGATCACAGGTATATCTCTGACTTAATTTATTTTTATCACTGGGCAAAGTTGAAGAGTAAACAATAATAGCAATAAAGTTGACAATGGGTGAATATCTAAAAAAACACATATTATCTCAATATAAACGGAACACTAATAAAATGTATATGATTTGTATAAAGTTACTAATGATAATTTCATTACAAAGATTAYAGCATTATTGATAAACACCACTTTTAGTAACTTTGTAAATTAGAAGTATATGTTCTTCCACTAAAGGCAAAACTTGTTTACAAATGAATATTTAATTGAGTCACTTTGTAAAAATTGGTATATGGATAAAAGAGGGAAAGAGCTGACATTTGTAAATGTGAGGTGAGTAGATTTATTAAAATTTTATTACTTTATGGGTTACAGTTTTAAAATAGTTTTTTCTACATTCTCTACCAAGATTCTAGTGCCAGAAAGTCAGTTCTCACCAGTAGAAGAAGAACTTAGTAGTTTAAAAGAAAAATCTAATCCTCAAAAGGAATTTGCTGAGCCTCCAAAATACATCAAAAATAGTAACCAAGGAAATGGGAAAAATAGTCAGCTCGAGGTAAATATGGTGTCAAAATAGTTGTTTATAGAACTGCATAAGTCAAATCATTGTTAAGTACAAAAAAAACCCTAGCTTGCATTTATATATTATTGGCCTTGATAAATGACAATTCAGTTTCCTCCCACGTTTTGCAAATGCAAACACAAGAAGATAATATTTTGGCTGATTATGTATATGTGAAGGGTTAGGAGTTAGAACAGGTTTACTATGGAATTAGCACCCTAATTCTTTTCCTACTTCTGCTCCATCAAAGAAACTTTCTCTCCCATCCACCTTTTTATAGATTTTTCTCTAAAAGCTTACTACCTACCCAGTGTTCTAAACATTTTACGGCTTCCTTGCAGAGCTTCTTTCATACACATAATTTAAGCTTTTAAATTATGTCCAGACTTGTCCTCAAAGTTCTATCAGTGCATCTATATTCTTTGTTCTAAGATTTCCTCTTGTCTCTATCTTCAAGTCATTTCTAAAGTCTAATGTTAATTTTTGCTCAAATCATATCTGCCTCCACACCTCAATAACACTACTGTTAATTCTTCTGTTGATAGCCTTGATGCTGGCATCTTTTCCCCGTATATCTAGAGCCAAGATGGTGATGACTGTCCTTTCATAGTGTCTCTCACATCCTTCCTTCCTTCTGTTACTCACCTCAGTACACCTAGGTTAACGTTGTAGCCTCCTAATTGGTTGTTGACACTATTGCTTCATCCTCTAAGCTATCCCTGCTATGCTAGTRAATTTGTTGTTAAATAACCGTGTTCTGACAGCACTCTTTTGCTCAAAAAACTTTTATCTCACTGACTCGATAGATTTTGATTTAGTTCTGTAGACCTGCAATCACATCGTTTGTTCCTTTTTTTAAAAAAAAATTTACTCATCTAAAACATACTTATATTTGCAAGTCTTAGTTCATTTTTCTTTCTTGAAACTTTTTTTCTATTTCAGATTTTAATTATCTTATCTTTAATCGACTATGACTCTCCACAGGCTTTTGCATACATTTTTGCATGTTTGTTACTCAGTACTTTCTTCTGTGGTGTTATGTCTTCAACTGAATGAAAAATGACATCTTTTATTTCTTCAGTATATAAGTTCACTATATCAATATTTCAGTTCTCATTCAATATATCACAAAAACAGTAATTTCTTTAAGAAGAATCTACTGGTTCCAAAGCTGCTTTTCTGGTTAATATTAAAATTCCTTTTCCTCCTGTATTTTCTACACTTACCCCACATCCCACATATTTACCTATTCACTGCTCCATGGYTTATTTTCCCCTCTGATTTAAGGGACTGTTCCTTGAAAAAAAGAAAGAAAAAAACAGCTGTCCTATGCTTCTGTATGGTATGTTACTTTATGTGGTGCCCTCAGAAACTCTGAATCCCTGTAGTCCCCACTTTTGCTTATCTACTTCTGGTACTCTTATAAATCATTCACTTTGGGATGATGTAGAAAAATACAAATCCTTGTTGAAGCCTCTCCTATGTGCCAACAAATCTCTAAATTCCTATAGTGGCTTATTTCAAAGACATTTTGGTTTCCACAGATTATTAATTCCAGTTTCAAAATTGTGTGAAAGTTTTAAAGAATGCTTAACATTATGAAAGCATTTAAAAATAATTTTACATAAGTAYGTACATAAGTACAAACATAATCCTCATAAAATAGAAGAGGAAATTGCAAATCAATGGTTAGCTAGATAAACTTAAAATCAGTAAAATATTTTCAGTTTGTACATGAAGGCACTATATTGTATACATCTAGATATTTAATAAATATTAAACAGTATTTCTGATTTGTTTTGATTACTTATGCAATACCAAATATGGATAAAACCTTGTGGTCAGCCTGAAACACAGAAATTTCTGAATATTGTCTTATTTTTAAAAAGCATCGTATGCATGTTATGAGTAAAATTGTAGGATATTTAATTTCAGAGAGAGTGTGTGTTTAATGTGGTTGTTTCTCATGGTTTAAGATAACTACTCCTAGCAAAAGAAAAATGTCTGAAGCATCAATGATTGTTCCTGGTGCAGATAGATACACTGTGAGAAGTCCAGTACTTTTAATCAACACATGTAAGTTTTATAATCTGAAAAGATTTTTTAACAAGTATTATATTTCAAAGGAGAAAATATTTAATTCCGGGAAATTTTGACATCATTTTCCTGAAGAGACATAAAATTGATAAAAATATGAATCACAAATGTCTTCTAGTGGGAAGAAAGATATAATGAGCATTGAGATATAAACATTTTTCAAAATATTAATATCCAGCATTAATAATTTATCATAATCTAAACAGGAGGCAGCATAACATAATGGTTAATACATTGAATTAATCATACTGTTTGGCTCTTCCTGTACCCCAGTGTGTATTTTGTAAGATTATTTTCTAGCTAAATTTAGAATCACTGTCTTTTTTGTGATATAGAATCAAAGTGTCTGTCTCATCAAGATTAGAAGATTAAATAAAGATCATCATTCAAAAAGGAATATTTATTAAATATTTAGACAATGCTTGGCATATACTAAGAGTTATAAATTTAGAAAAAACTGATACTTTGTGCTAATGGTTTTAAACAAAGTCTGTCTTCCTGACAATTTAATATTGACTTTCCATTCCCCAAATCTGCTGGGCAATTGCCTAATGTATGACAAATTTCTCAAACTTAATAAGYCCAAAATTAAGTCTATCTTACTTTACACTCTGACATTTTTTTCTCCGCTTCTTGATAAGTGGCATCCATGTCCACTTATTCTTCTAAACTGGAAACTTGAAAACTGGTTTCCAAGAACCTCCCTTATCTTTCTCACCTAAAAAGTACCTCAGTACAAAATTAAAAAAAAAAAAACTCTCACCATCCTTTGTCCTCCTTTAGCAACACCACGAAGAAGAAGAATTAAACCACCACTGCAAATGATAAGTTCAGCAGAAAAAGCTGCTCTTTCTAAAGCACCAGAAAATGGAGTGGATAATGCTATATCCCTTAAACCTAGACCATCAGAAGGAATAAATAGGAGAGAGAATGCAGACAAAGTAAGTACTCTTTGGGTATTTTTTAAATTGTTTTCAGATTATCATAGAAATATATATTGAGCTGACTTCTTTTATAACCAGTATATTTTTCTAGATATCATTTATTATCCTTTAAAATAGGTTTCTTCTAGAGTATGACTCATTTACTATGCTTGCTATAAGACTTATTAACATCTGTTCACTATAATTGCAGCTTTTACACTGTTAGGAGAAAAGGTCTTTCTATACAAGTTAACGTCTGCTATGGAGAAGGCTTTAGTGGGTACAGAAATGTGAGATCCAAATGGACTCTGTATTTATGTATTTCAAAGTCTCTCATGGTTAATAAGATAATCACAACACAGTGTAAGCATCATCAGATGTACATAGAAGTTTCCATAACAGCCATTGAAAAGGGTAACCAATATAGCTGGAAAAGAGGGTGAAAATCAGCAGAGACCTTTTAAGGAAATATTGAGGGAGGGTGAATTAATTTTTGAAGTACCAGTAAAAGTTAGTCCCATGAATATTGAAAACAAGGGCATTCATTCCAGGTTATTGAAGGGACAGGAATAGGGAATGGATAAGGAAAAAAATGGTTTCTTGGAGAAAGAAAAGTTTGTAGATGAGGAACACTTAATGGGTTTTTATTTTCTTYTGGAGTATGAAAATGGTAAATTTCTCCTGGGATCTGTTGAAGCAGGGGTCAGGAACAAGTAAAGATTTTAAAATAGCTCCTAAGAGTTAAGGGGGGAAACTTGAGAATAAGTCCAAGTGTTAGGCAAGRTTCAGTTTAAATTTAAGACTGAATTTGATCATTGTTACTGAATATAATACATTTATGAACATACATTAGTTCATAAAATGTGAGCAATATTCTCAAAGCATAGTAGTCTTCATGCTAAAATTTTAAAAAAGAGCACTTGGTGGATTTTTTAAAACTTTAAATGGGTGTTTGTGGGAAATAAAGAGTGTAAGTGTTGAAGAAAGAAAAAATAGTAAAAACTAATGGCTTAAATTATTGAGCTAAGTATTTTTTAATAAAGGTATTATTTTTTAATTGTTTGCCATGGTCCTGAATATTGTAAATGATAGGTATTGTAGCTAGAATTGCACTTACATATTTCAGGAGAACCCTCTTCACTGTGACACCAAAAAATGTACCTGCATATTTCTACAGCTGTTTCCAAGTATAGAAAATCATTGGCTAAATTAGGTAGAAAAGATTGCTAAGGCAAGGTAAAATATCTTGGGATATCTTAGGTATATTTTCTGAAAGTGATAGCAAATTTTAATTTTATCTTCATAAAGTGTGATTCTGTGGCTATGGAAAGAGGAAAGCTTAATGTAGACAAGAACTTACCTGGGCAGAGGCCAAAAATTTTAAAATAATTTAATACTTCATAATTTCCAAGTTCTCTACATACTTTAGTGAAAAGACAGAAGAGGTATAGCCTGTGAAATCAGTAACAACAGGAGATTTGCCGTGGAGGTTCTAGAGATTGTCAATAATAGATGAGAATTATTACTCTAGCTATGGATGGGATTAGAAAATTTGTAGGATCTTCTGCCTCCTTGTCTGCAATGAAAGGTAGTTTCTTGTGTTTCAGAATAGGTAATATTCTAGAATGAGCATAACATTTATGAAATATATGCACTGTCCAACTTTCATAGCAAGACAGATTTACTTTTTCAAATCTTAATACTCTTGACGTTTTTAAAGTTTTCATATGTCTTAATTAAAGTTTACAGTAATATGTGTCCTGTGTTTGTAGCATATTAAAACTGCTAAAGTTGCGGAAAAGACAGAAAAGAAGGACATTGAATTCCCAAACCAAAATTTCAGTAAGTTCTTTTTGGTTTAATTTAAGTTGCTTTAAAATAYAGAGAGAGCTGGGTACAGTGGAGCATTTCTGTCATCTCAGTGACTGGGAGGTTGACACTGGTAGTTCACAAGTTCAAAGCCAGCCTCAACAACTTATGAGACCTTGTCTCAAAATGAAAAAAAAAAAAAAAAGAACTTGGGGTATTGCTTAATGGTTAAGTACCCCTGGGTTCAATTCCTGGTACCTAAATGAATAAACATCAGAGATGAAATCCAGGACATTGTTCCTGAATCACAGGCAGTGGCAACAATAGATAAACCTGTGTAAATGAGAAAATCCATCAAATCATGTAGTATATATTGTTATTTTTAGATGAATATAACAGATTTGAGAAATGTAATATTTGTTATAGCATTRATCTTGTTCAGTTATTTAGCCCCACTGACTTTCATTGAGTTGAAAAAGAAAAAAATTATAATGAGTGTGTTTGGTATATGCCAGGAACTTTTGAGGTTGCACAGAAATAGAAGAAGATTTCTGTTTCCATTAAATTGGGGCCTGAGGGCTGGGGTTTTGGCTCATAGGTAGAGCACTTGCCTAGCATGTGTGAAGCACTGGATTTGATCCTCGGCACCACACAAAGTAAAATAAAGACATTGTATCCACCTATAACTAAAAAATAAATAAAAATTGGGGTTTGAGATGGAGGAAGCAAGAGATCAGTATCCAAATTTGTGGATCTTTATGGAATTCTACACTAACCCCCATTTGACTCTTCCCAACTATATGAAAAATGAAAATATCATTTTTGTTTTATTTAGATGAACTCCAGGACATTGTTTCTGAATCACAGGCAGTGGGAAAAATAGATAAACCTGTGTAAGTATGAGAAAATCCATCAAATCATTTAGTATATAATGTTATTTTTAGATGAATATAACAGATTTGAGAAATGTAATATGTAATATTAGTCATAGCATTAATCTTACTCAGTTATTATAATAGCACAATGGGAAATGGTCTATACTTATTTCCATATTAACTAACATAACTCTTTTCAAGTTGAGAGATTTTAAAAGGATGAGATTTTTTAAATGTAATGTATGAATGTGAAAAAATTTAACTTGGTTTAAATACACAGTAAAATGTATGAAAAGTGAGATATATTTAGGTGGATATTCAAGTAGTTGGARTAGTAGTACTTTTCTAATTTTTTAATCAGACAGTTATAAATTTTAATTTTTGTCATGTCTTATGAAATTGTTTTCATGTTTAAACAGACTGTTTTCAATAAACATTGACTAAATAAAAGTCAAGGTCTTAAGAGTCATATGCTGATTTTTAGTAATATATTAAGCAAATGAATTTATTTTCTAGGCTGCCTGGTGTTTTAGACAACATCTGTGAAAATAAAATGAACTCCAAATGGGCATGTTGGACACCTGTAACAACTATTAAACTATGTGATAACCAAAGAGTCGATACTTTTTCAGGAGAAACATTCAATCAAGGTGAAACATAGCTTTGTATGCATGTGGTGGTAGTACAAAGAAATAATAACTTCCTTGGATGTCTAACAAGTATTTTGGGTTTTAACAAATTTTAATTATTTCCAGGCACAATGGCACACACCTATAATCCCAGCTACTCAATAGACTAAGGCAGGAAGATTGCAAGTTTGAGGCCAGCCTTGGAAATTTAGTGAGACCCTGTCTCAAAATAAAAAAGGAACTGGGATGTATCTCAACAGTAGAGCATACCTGAGTTCAATTCCCATTACTGCAAAAAATAAAAAAAATTATAAATTTATGCGTTTTATTTAAGAATTAATTTCTCGTCTTTCCATTAGATATTGATATCAACAAGCAATATACTAAACAAAAATCATCTTCTATATCTGATGATGATTCTGAAGAAACAGAAAATGCAAAATATATGAAAGAAACAGTGGAGCCTAACAAAGTATACAAAGCAGAAGAATTGTGCAAAAGAAACAATCAACAACAAAATCATCCACAGTATTCAGAGCAGAATACTGAAAATACCAAGCAGAGTGACTGGCACATTGAATCTGAAACAACTTTTAAGTCAGTTCTTCTAAATAAGACAATTGAAGAATCTCTGATATATAGGAAGAAATACATATTGTCAAAAGATGTGAATACTGCTATTTGTGATAAAAGCCCTTCTCCTAGAAAAAATGTGAAAAGTCAGAGAAAATCAGGGAAAGCAGTGACTTCGGAACTTAATTCCTGGGAATTGAAAGAAAAACAAATGGTGAGCTTTCAGTGAGTTTTGATGTCTTCATACCAATAAGATGCCTACTTAATTACATAAAGTGAAAGTTGATTGCTGCATATTTAATGTGTTCAATGCCTTATTCTTTGATTGAATGTATAAATCCTGAGAGTAGGTTTCCCCTTATCCTCCTTACTCATTTCTCCCTAATCCCAGCCCTGATAGAACAGTATTTGATCCATATTTCTCCCTAATCCCAACTCTGATAGATCAGTATTTGACCCATGCAGACATGTGTAGAAAAGTGAACCCTGAAGTTTCTATCTCTTCTCTTTGGGTTCCTCCCATTCTCTCCTTTTGAATACACATACCAAGCAATTCTTTCTTCGTTTTTATAAATGGTTRTTTTTGTTTTTCCTCTATAACTAACCTACCAAAGAGTAGGGCTTGTGTTTATTCAGCCTTTGTTTTCCTGCATGTCCTATATTACTCATAGTAGCATCTTAAACACTTCTTGGATGAACACATTAAATCTTTACAAGGGTTTGCAGGAAATAATGTAAATAACTTAGAAGAGACTGTCTTCTGCAATTGTTGCTCATTCTTATTGGAGCCCYAGCTTTATTTTTCAGACTAAATCATCTAAGTATTACATCTCCAACACAGTTTAAACTACTCTGCATCACACTTACACAGAAGAAAATTTTACTTTTTGTAAAAATTGTCATGACTTTTTGTAATTGCTATCAAGATACGGATTAAGGAAAATTTTTAATCAGTATACATTTTATTGCCAATTACGCAATTTGTTTTTGCCATCCTATGATAAGTTTTTTTTAGGTTTAGATTTTCATTTATCCTCTGAAAATACTACTAATACCTGAGTTGTCAGATTTCTGGAGTCAATGTAAAATGTTTATACCTTGTGATCTAGACATTATTTAATTTGTTGACAGCCTCCTTTAAAATTTTTTTTTAACCTACAATCTACTTTTCATGTTTAATTTGTGTGCTTTCTTCCATATATTCCTTTGGGATTTTTTGGTTGTTGTTTTTTTTTTTGTTTGTTTGTTTGTTTTGATTCCTAGAATGGTGTTCTTTTCTCTTTAGACTCTTAGCTGCTATTTAGTTCCCTCAATCTTAGAGGAAGTAAGATTCCAACTGTCCAAACACAGTTATGTCATTCAATTTTTAATTTGAAACTTTTTTGGTGGGGTAAGAGTATTAGAAACATTTCACAAAATTTTCCTGATCTAGTTATTTCTTTTTTCTRGAAGTGCAGAAACTTAATCCTCTATTCTAAGCTGTGGTATGATATTTTAAAAATCTGTTTGCTGTTTTCAGAGGTTCTCGTCGTTTCTTCGTACTTTCTGTATCACTACACAATATTTCCTGCCAGTTTAATGGATCACTCTAAAGTAATCATCGGTCTGACTTTGCCTTCCTACTTAGTATATCACAGAGTAAATCTCTGTAGTTCAGATTTCTCACCCTGGCTCTAATGATATTGAAAGTACTGAAATCACACTATTTTTTTTTTTTTGAGGTTACAGACAGATTTATTTAGGAAAGCAAGAATACATTCAAGGGAGAATGGGGGCTACTCTGAYCTTCCAGTTCCTCTTTAATTATTTCTACAGCTTATCTAGGCCAGGGTATCACCACACGTAGGCTCTGCTTGCCATCTCCTTAACAGAAGGGCTGAAGGGGAGRTGACCTTGACACATACACCCATTAGAGCTACTCTGTGACAAGAGCAGGATCTGCTGGTGGAAAGGGAGCGTCAGCTAGCTACCCCTTGGTCTGGGGACCGTAGCTAGGGACTGGACAGGAGGACTGAAGTCAGGGTGGAGTTGCACAGTTTTGTACCAGTTTTTCTAGCCTTTGTTTTGAACTTGGTGTTGCTTTTTTTCAAGTAAGGGCGAGTGTGGACCACCCAGGACAAGGGCTGAGAGCATGGCTGGGTTGCTGGGGAGTTCATGTTTGCACTTCCAACGTTCATGGGCATTCCCTGTGTTCCCACAGCTCCTGGGCCCTCCTCTTTAGGGACTTGGACTTTTTAATTTTGCTTTCTGCACCTCCAAATTCCTATCTCACTACTATGTGGGAGGGACTAGGTTACCATGGAACAAAAGACAAGACCTTAAAGAGAGAAGCAAGTCCTAACAGCGTGGCCAGCAGAGCAGACACCACCCAGCAAAGCCCCTAAGGCCTGAATAGACCTAAACTCCAGCCCCTGGAAATCCCCTCATTGAACTCTGCAGCAGCCCTGTCTTGGGAGTGCATTGATCTGGTCTGTGTGGACAACTCCAATTAACAGTACTTCCAACTGCATCCTATCTTATATGGTAAGAAGGGAAGCTGAGCTATTTCCATGAGCCTCAGACTTAGGCCACTCCAATGGCTAGCTCAGTGAAAGCAACACAAAAAAGAGGAAGAGGTTAAGAATCTTCAGCCCTTGATTGTGTGGAGATTCAAGATGGTATATTAGACGAATGCTGCAATTCATTTGCTTGAGTGCGGTCTCTCATTCTCTGTCTCTTGCCSACCATTTTGACCACATCAGTGGAAACACTTCCTTTATTTTTCATTAAGAGTCATTTTTTTCCGCACACGCGTGTGTGTGTGTGTGTGTGTGCGCGCGCGCGCGCGCGTGCTGTGCTGATTGTGTATATTTGTATTTCTCAATTTTTAGTATTTTTTATTGAAACATGATAATTATCCCATATTTATACCCCTTTCCCTCTTTCTTCCCTCTATCTCATTCTCTTCCTTCCACTACACTGATCTGCCATGTATCTTTATGATGTTCAATCTCCTTTCTTGCCACCTTCTTCCCCCTTATTTTGCTCTAGTTTCCACAAATGAGAGAGAATTTTTGGCTTTTGATTTTCTAAGTCTGGCTTATTTCACTTAGCATGATTTTCTCCATTTCCATCCATGTACCAGAAAAAGCCATTATTTTACTCTTTATGGCTGAGTAGAACTCCATTGTGTATATATACCACATTTTCTTGATACATTCATTTGCTGATGGACATCTGGGTTGATTCCATAATTTGGTCATTGTGAACAGTTATTTTTTCTCATCTTGTGTTTTGAGAGTTAGGGGTTTTGATTTATTTATTTAGGTTTTGTTTTTATTGGTTTCTTTCCTTTTTTTCCTCTGCTAACAGCAAAATTTTCTTCTTTTTCTCCCCTTTTTTCGTATTTTTCTCCTCCCTCCTTTATAACCATCACCCACTACATCTYTTCTGCATTCTGTGTTCCCTTTTAAACGTTGTAAACTCACTTCTACTTTATTATATTTTCTTTTCTCTCAATAAACTGTATTTCCACCATCTTTTAGAACTGGTTTATATAACTCCTGCACCCACCATCCATGCTCTTGTAATTACTGCTGTGGATAACATAGTTGACACCTGCTCTTTGTTTTAATGCTCACTCTAGTTCATGGTTATTTATTGTTTTTCTGTTGGCATSTGCTGATTCCTCCATTCCTCTTTGTTATGGTAATTAATATTATAGATGTCATACTAGAAACTGGGTACTTATTGTAATGCTGTATTTTGTTTGTTGGTTATTGCTATTGTTTGTTTCCCCTATATTGTGAGATGCTAAGGACTTACAAGGACATGAGGAGTTGACAGGGTAGAGACTCTGGTGCTGAACTAAACTAAACTCAGCCAAAGGGTTGCACATACCTTGCTTCATATACATATTAATATTCAAACTTCAGCTATACTTTAATATTAAGAACAGAAGAAACAAAAACCCAAACTAATGACCAATTCCCAAGTAGAAAGGGATGAGAGTAAGCCCTTAGGTTCTACTCATAGACATCCACTGCTACAATAAAAACGGAGAAGTAACACAAAGGCTGTGGATGCCACACTTATGAAGGGGGTCTCAATCTAGATCATTCTAGGATGCTTTAGCAAGGCTGTGCTTAAGAAGGCTCACACGTAAGAGTGGAAGAGAAATCCATTCAAACATATGCCTAAAACCTAACACAGGAATATAAGAAATAYGGGAAAACAGGGTAATACAATACCTGCTAAGGTTCACCAGCAATTGACCTCAAAGATATTGAAGTGGATGAAATTCTAGATAAAGAATTCAAAAGAATAATTATAAAAATGATCAATGAATTCCAAGAGAACACAGAAAAACAACTGAATGAATTAAGGAGCCAGTACAGGATATGAATAAGAAATTGATTAAGAACATAGAGATATTAAAAAAGATCCAAATGTGCAGGTGAAAGTCTTAATAGAGTAGACCGTGCTGAAGACAGAATCTGTGTTGGAAAATAAAAGTGGCCAGGCTTGAACATTCAGGCAATATTAAAGAACATAAGTAACTATGACCAGAATATACAAGACATCTGGGACAACATTAGTAGACGAAGTTTAATTCATTGGAATTGAGGCAAGTTGTGAGATGCTGGCTAATGGAAAGGACAACTTCTTCAGGTAAATAATTACAGAAAAATCTTCTAAACCTTGACAATTAGGTGAACATCTAGATATAGGCTACATTCAGAATCCCAACTAGACAAGGAAGAAAAAAAAAACTTCTCTCAAACACATTATAATTAAAATGCCTAACATACAGAGCAAGGATAGGATTTTAAAAGCTCCAAGAGAAAAACGTCAGATCTCATATAGAGGCAAGCCAACTAGAATTACTCTGGATTTCAGAGCACAGTCTCTAAAAGCCAGGAAGACTTGGAATGCTGGTGTTCCAAGTCCTGAAAAAGTAACTGTCAACCAAGATTGCTATATCTAGCAAAGCTATTCTTCATAATCAAAGGAAAAATAAAATTCTTCTGTGATAAGATTGGAATGCTGGTATACTGAGCCAGCATACAGAATTAAAGATTCTCCATACAGAAAAATAAAAAGCAACCCCAGAGCTCACAAATGAACAAATCTCATTTGAACAATAGCTAAGCAAATGAGAAACAGGACCAAATAAAACAATACAAATAAATCAAAATGGCAGGAATTAATAAACCTCTCTATAACAACTTTTAATATAAATGGTCTCAACTCTCCAATTGAAAGACATAAGCTGGCAGAATGGACCAAAAAATAAGATCCAACTATATGTTGTTTCTAAGGGACTCACCTTATAGGCAAAGACAGTCACAGGCTGAAAGTGAAAGGGATAGAAATTGATGTACTATGTGAATGAAGTCCAAAAGCAAGCAGGGGTAGCTACTGTCATATCTGACAAAGCAGACTTTAAATTAAAATCAGAAGAGTCAGAAGATCACTTCAAACTGGTAAAGGAACAATCATAAATATTTATGCCTCAAACATTGGTGCAACTAATTATATAAAAAAGAAACTACTTGACTTAAAGCCTCAGACCCCAGTACAATAATCCTAGGTGATTTTAACATACCTCTGTCACCGTTAGAAAGGTCATCCAGATATAAACTCAGGAAAGACTCCTGAAAAATATTATAAATCAAGTGGACTTAAGAGACATCTATAGAATATTTCATCCAACAACAGCTGAATACACAGTCTTCTCAGTAGCTCATGGAACCTTCTCCAAGATAGACCATATTCCAGGCCACAAAGAAACTCTCAGCAAATACAAAAAAAAATTGATATAATTTCTTCCATCTTTTTCTAAAACATTTATTTTTTAGTTTTAGGTGCCCCATACATGCTAGGCAAGTACTCTACCAGTGAGCCACTACCCCAGCCCCAATTTCTTCCATCTTATCAGATCATAATAGAATTAGAGATCAACATCAGAAAACCATCAGACTATATAACATATGGCATAAACGTATAAAAATATGGAGATTAAACAATATAGTTTTAAATGATGAATGGGTAGTAGAAGAAATCAGGGGAAAAGGTAAAAAAAAATTCTGAAATGAAACAGTGATACAACATTCCAGAACCTCTGGGACACCATTGAAGACAGTTCTAAGAGGAAAGTATAGTTATGAGTGCCTATGTAAGAAAATTAGATCCCCAATAAACAACCTAATGWTGCATCTCAAGACCCTTGAAAAATAAGAACAAACCAATTCCCAAACCAGTAGAAGGAAACAGTTAAGATAATAGCTGAAATCAATGAAATTGAGAATAAAAAACACAAAGGATCAATGAAATGATTTTTGAAGAGATAAACAAGAWTAATAAGCCTTTAATCAATCTAACCAAAAGAAAAAGAAGACTTAGTAAAGTTAGAGTTGAAAAAGGAGAATCATCACAGATATCACAGAAATCCAGTGGATCATTAGGGAATTTTTAAAAAATTCAACAAATTGGAAGACCTAGAAGATATGGATACATTTATAGACACACATGACCTGCCTAAATTGAACCAGGAAGACAGAGAATCTAAGCAGCATTACTAGTAATGAGAGAGAAGCAGTAATTTAAAAAACTATCAAAAGCCCAGGATCAGATGTATTCTCAGCTGAATTCTGCCACATCTATAGAAAAACTAATGTCATTGTCCCTAAACTTCTATGAAGTAGATAGCAATGGAACACTTCCAAATTCTATGAAGCCAGTATCACTCACAGATGAAAGCCAGATAAGGACACATCAAGGAAAGCAAACTACACACTAATATCCCTGATGAACTTACATGTAAAAATCCTTAATTAAATATTAGCAAACCATATTCAACATATTAAGGAGATTGTACATCATGACCACGTTGGTTTTATCACAGATAGGTAAGATGGTTTAACATATTCAAATCAGTAATGTAATTCATCACATTAATGTAATTAAGCACAAAATCACTCCTCTCAACAGATGAAGAGAAGGCCTTTGATAAAATTTAGCACCCATTCATAATAAAAATACTGAAGAAAGTAGGGATTGAAGGAACCTACCCCAACAACATAAAGACTGTATATGAAAAATCTAAAGTTAATCTCATAGTAAATAGGGCAAAATTGAAGTAATTTCCTTTAAATTCTGCAATAAGACAAAGATGTCCAGTCTCATCACTCCTATTTAATGTGGTGCTAGAAATTCTATCCAGAGAGATTAGACTAGAGAAGAAAATAAAAGGAATAAAAATAGAAAAGGAAGAAATCAATTTATCACTATTTGCAAATGATGTGATTCTATACTCAGAAGATCAAAAAAACTCTACTGTTATAACTAATAMCTTCAGCAAAGTGGCATATTATAATATCAACATACTAAAATCAGTAGCTTTCCAATATCAATAATGTATCTGCTGAGAAAGAAGTCAGTAAAGGAATTTTTCACCATAGTCATTTTTAAAACCTAGGAATAAATCTCTACCAAGGAGGTAAAAGACCTAYACAATGAAAACTATACATCATGGAAGAAAGAAATTGTTCATAGAGAAGCAGAATTAATATTGTGCAAATAAATGGCTATATCTCCAAAAGTAATATACAGATTCACTGCAATTCCCATCAAAATAACAATAACATCCTTCATTAAACTAGAAAATAATAGTCCTAAAATTCATCTGGAAGAAAACAMGACCCAGAATATCCAAAGAAATTCTAAGCCAAAAAGCATAATACCTGACCTCAAATTATAKCACAGAACTATAGTAAAAAGAACTGCATGGTACTGGCATAAAAAACAGACACATGGACTAGACACATGGTGCATAATAGATAATGCAGAGACAAACCCACACATGTATAGTCATCTGCTACTTGACAGAGGTGCCAGAAACACATTGGAAAAGCAGCCTTTTAAGAAATGGTGCTGAGGGGCTGGGGATGTGGCTCAAGCGGTAGCACGCTCTCCTGGCATACGTGCGGCACGGGTTCGATCCTCAGCACCACATACCAACAAAGATGTTGTGTCCACCGAGAACTAAAAAATAAATATTAAAAAAAATTCAAAAAAAAAAGAAATGGTGCTGGGAACCCAAACTGGTTATCCATATGTACAAAAATGAAACTAGACTCTTATCTCTTACTGTGCACAGAAATTAACTCAGTGGATCAAAGACCAAGGAATTAGGCCAGAAACAATGCAACTCCTAGAAGAAAACTTATAGTARACATTCCAGCTTATAGGCACAGGCAGTGAATTTCTAAATATGACCTATAAAGCTGAGGAAATTATGCCAAGAGTTAATAAAATTGGCATCAAATTGTAAAGCTTCTGCACAGCAAAGGAAACAAGAATGTGAAGAAAGGACCTAGAGAATGGGGGCAAATTTTTGTGAACCCCTTTTCTTAGAGGATTAATATCCAGAATATATAAAGAACTCAAAAACACTTAAACCAAAACAGCAACAACAACAACAACAAATAATCCAGTAATAAATGGGCAAATGAATTAAAACACTTCTCAAAAGAAGAAATACAAATGGCCAACAAATATATGAAAAAGTTTTCAACATAGTTAGCATTTAGGAAAATACAAATCAAAACCACATTTAGATTTCATCTCACAGCAGTCAGAATGGCAGTCATCAAGAATACAAACAAAGGATTTAGAGGAGATTGTAAAGTAGCACAACAACTATAAAAATTGGTATGGAGCTTTCCTCCAAAGATTGGCATAGTACTACCATATGACCCAGATATACCACTCCTTGGTATTTATCCTAAAGAATTAAAATCATCATACAACAGTGATACATGCATACCCATGTTTATAGCAGCACGGATCACAGTAGTCAAACTATGGAATGAGCTGAGGTATTCACCAGTAAATTATTGGGTAAATAAAACGTGGTATATGTACACATGAAGTTTTATTTAGCTGCATGAGTGGATGTTGGATTTTGTCAAATGCTTTTTGTGTTATCTGTTGATATTTCTTGCATACCAGAATACCATTTGGTAGTGGTGCATAGTTTTTTTTTAGTACATTATTGGACTTGATTTGCAAATAATTTGTTGAGAATTTTTGCATCTGTGTTTATGAAAGACACTGGTCTGTAGATTTCTCTTTTTAATGTCTTGGGTTTTGGCATTAGTGTCATACTTGCCTCATAGAAAGACTTAGAATGTATTCCGCTTCTCTCTCTTGGAAGATTGTGGAGATTTAGTATCATTTCTTCCTTAAGTATTTGGTAGAATTTACCATTAACCCATCTAAGTCAGGCGCTTTTTGTTTAGGAGATTAATTATAGATTCACTTTCTTTCATACATACAGGAATATTCAAATGATCCATTTATCCTTGCACAAGTTTTGATACCTTGTATCTTATAAGAAATTTGTCCATTTTATATAGTTATAAAATTTGTAGACATGGAGTTCATAATATTCTTTTTACCACTTTAATGTCCAGGTGGTCTAAAATGATGGCCCCTCTTCCTTTATCAATATTAGTAACTTGTGCTGGGATTGTGGCTCAGTGGTAGAGCGCTTGTCTACTGTGCGTGAGGCAATGGGTTCGATCCTCAGCACTACGTGTAAAAAGAAAGTTATAAAAAAATAGTATTTTTCTCTCTCCCTCCCTTAACTTGGCTAGAAGCTTATCAATTTTATTGACCTTTTCAAAGAACTGGCTTCTTTTTCCTAAAGTTCATTTTTATTCTCATGTATAGAATAAAGAAACTACTCTATAGAGCATTCTGCATAGCTTTTATGTTAAAGACTTGTCCTGGTTGGTTCTAATGCTTTACAAAACCCAAACTTATTAAATAATTTTGGCCCTTTTTATTTTTTGTAGATATATATAGAACCAAATTTTTCTTGAATTTTTATATTTAGCCTTTATTCTTCTTTGAAAGTCAACTGGGAGAGTTTTAAAGTAACTTATAAATTGTTTCAGAGAGAAAAGTCAAAAGGAAAAGAATTTACTAATGCAGCAGAAACCTTAATAAGCCAAATTAATAAGAGATACAAACCAAAAGATGACATGAAGTCTACAAGAAAATTAAAGGAGTCTTTGGTGGATGGGTATGTTGATTAAAATTTTAGACATAAATATTTTTCTAACAGCTAACAACTGAATTATTTTTTTAAATGTTAGTTTTAAGTATGCATTCAAATCATGTAACTATCCAGTAGAAAACATATAGTTGTTATGAGCAATAGCTGTTTAGATTAAGCAGGAGGGAAATTAAATTTTAAATGTGCCATTCTAGTGATTGGTTACATTTTATAAAGTATCAAATAATGCCATATTAATACAGTATACCATTTTAGAAGTAAATCTTTAGGATGCAAGTATCTTACAATTTTATTTATGGACTCTAGTACTGAGAGTACTGAGTAAAACTAAATTTAAATGTGTTGCTTAATGAAATATGAAGTTTAAGTGAGCTTATTTAAATGAATTATTTTAACATAGTAACTAATGTATTCCTTATTATCTTAAGGTTAATTCCTTTAATACAAAATGTTCATTTATGAACTCTCAGGTTGTTATTTTGGTACTGGGGATTGAACCCAGGGGTGCCTTACCACTGAGCTATATCCCCAATGCTATTTATTTATTTTTGTCTTGAGACAGTGACTGAGTTGCTTAGGGCCTTAATAATTACTGAGTCTGATCTTGAACTTGTAATCCTCCTGCTTCAGCCTGCCAGTTGCTGGGATCACAAGCATATGCCACTGCATGCAGCTGTCAGGTTGTTAATTCAAATTATAATTAATCCTTGCCCTGTTAATTTAATTAAAATTAATTAATTCTGACATTTAAAAATGACCTTCAGGGTAAAACCATTTTTTAAAAATTGTTTGCTACTTCCTGCTTCACTAATGATTCAACTTATAATTAATTATTTTAGCTGCTATTTTAGGAAAGCTGAAAAAATATAGCTGTGACATTTTGGTTATTTATAACATATTGAATATAGAGTTAGTGACCAAAATATGTTTTGCCTTATATAAAATAACTTTTGAGAAATAATCGATATCTAATTGCTCTTTAAATATTGTCAATGTTTTTTTATAGTGATTTTTTAAACAAATCTGACCTACAACTTAGTAAGGTAGGTGTCCTTTATTTAATTTCACCAAACCTGTAGTCAAACTTGATATTTGACTGTAGATACTAAATTAGTATTAAGAAGGAATTGGATGCTTCTTTTATATAAGATCAATATTTTACTTTTTTGTACATGATTCAGTATGTCCATATCACTGGGTTTTTTTTATTTATTTTATTTTGCGCTAACTTATTCCATCTGTCTTGAGAATTATAGGTCCTTCTTAAGTCATGATTTGGTAAAAAAAATATATATATATTTTATCTTCATTGAGGCAAAAATAGTTTTCTTAAATTTATTATTTAAAATTACTTTCTGTAATTTTATCAAATTCTGAAGTTTACCCTCTGTAAGTTCTTTTGAATCTTTTCTCCTTTATGACAACTCCTATTGTCTTTCAGTTCTAATTTCTGATTCCTGAACTGTTACGATAGTCTTTATGTAATTCTCTTTGTTTATAGTGTAATATGTTTCTGTGCCAATCCATTCATTAGTACATTACTTATTCTCTTTAACCTTTTTTGGAAAGAACTCAAATTCTCATTCCTTCTTTTGTGATTACCAAGATCTTAATATTCATTGGGAGTCTTGCTTTTGAGTCTGTCTTCTTTGTGAAAAGTTTCCAAGGTCCCCTGACCAAAGAAAAAATATATTCAATTGGAAATAAATAATTTTTTGTGCTTTTAAAATTATTTTATTCATTACTACAGGGTTTTCCTTTCTCCTGTCTTACGAGGGTGTAACTGTCTTGAGTCATCTTTATATCTTCTTTTAACATCTTTGTTCACCTTTGTACATCTATAATACATACATGTATTAACATTTGCATATCCTGTTTTATATGATGTTCTGTAATACCTAGCTGGTATTACTGGTACACAAAAGAGAAATGAACATACATACCTGAACACTGGGTAAGTCAGWTAAGTGATCAGAGGAATGATATATAGAGAGAGAAAGTTTTGAGAATAATGCAAATAATTCTATATGATATAGCCAAAATTTTAAATTGAAAATAAATCACAAATTAAAATGAATGTTTTAGATTTTAATATTTATAACTTACCAGATGTGAAATTAGTCTTCTGATTATTTTGATAAGTTATTTAGCAATATTACTTAACCATAGTTAAATATAATAAATCAATACAAATATTAATTCATTAAATTTTGTTTAACTTCTTTACTGCCCTCAGTAATTTGTGATCTGGTTGAATATATTTTGAGCTATAATCTATKTGAATAATTGTACACATATTTTCCCCCAAATAATTAATACATGCATTTAAATCATTTTTCTAGTGTGGATGCTTGATATTTTCCTTTTATATATTTAAGGTGCATGAAATGATGATATTACATAGTGAAATGATTATTGTAGCCAAGAAAATGAACACATCCATTATTTCACATAATTCACCTGTATGTGTGTTTCACAAAACACCTAAAATATGATTTTTATGGGAAAAAAACTGAATACAATATATTATTAACTGTAGTCCTCATTTTCTATATTAGACTCTAGAATTGATTAATCCCTACCTATTATCCTTTAATCACTTTCTCATTTCCTTCTCCTTGCCCCACTCATGACCACCATTTTACTATTTCTATATATTCAAACTTTACATTCCACATGTGAAATCATGCAGGTTTCTTTCTGTCTGCCTTAATTTCATTTGACATAATACCCTCTACGTATATAGATGTTGTGACAAATGGTAGTATCTCTTTGTTTTAAAGCTGAATAACATTGCTGTGTGTTTGTTTGTGTGTGTGTGTGTTTATTAGTTTCCTTATCCACTCATCTGTCAGTACACACTTTAGGTTGTTTCTCTGTTGTAGATATTAAAATAATGTAACAAGGAACATGGGAGTACAGGTATCTTTACAGGTGGTGATTTAATTTTTTGAGGTATATGTTTATTAACTCACATTAAGGAAAATGTTATAAATGCCAGATTTATAGTAGTGTAAGTGCAGATGGAAATGTTAAATAGATGAATATTTAATTGCATGTGATTTGTTTGCTATGTGGTCAATAGTAGTCTAAGTTTAAATGGTTTATGTAAACCTTTTGTATTTAGGAAAAAGTTCAGAAAAAAAGTTACAGAAAACTGAAGACTACTTTTGTTAATGTTACTTCTGAATGCCCATTGTAAGTAATTTTTTATTAATCTTTTCATTTTTTTCATATTTAAAGAAACTAAACATTTCTTTTATAATGGAACTAACATTTGTATTTAATTTCACAGGAATGATGTTTATAATTTTAATTTGAATGGAGCTGATGATCCTGTTATAAAACTCGGAGTAAGCTAGAAATTAATGTTTATTTTGTACTTATTCAGTAGTTATTTTGCATGTATTATTCAGTTATGAGTGTTTTTGATGTGCATCTTCTTATAGATGTACTTTAAAATTTTTTTAAATATGTGAAAAGATATTTGGATAACCAGCTAGGGTATCTCTGGGGTTTTTCTAAATTTTTGCAGATAAGGAGGAAAGAAATGAGTGGGAAAAGTAGAAGACTTATTCTATCAAGAAAATCTTTTTTTTTTTTTTTTTGCTGGGACAGGTTTAAAACAAATACTTTTATTTGTTTTGCTCTGAGTGTATTTTATTGTATTTATTGTATCATTTTAAATTTTATTTTCAATTTTTATGATTCTAAGAAATGATAGAAACTAGATATTGTGCTTATTCCTTAATTTTTGTTTASTTTGACACTAAGAATACTCTTTATTTTTAATGTTTATTCACCATATAGATCCAAGAATTTCAAGCTACAGCTACAGAAGCATGTGTGGATAATTCAATAAAATTGTAGGTGTTTTTATTTTAATAACATAGGTCAGATTAAAACAATTTTAACTTTTTCCCCTCTTAAGTAGCTTGTCCTCACTCTGTTTCTCTAAGAGTTTTTAACATAGGAAAGGAATGAAATTAAAATGCTACTGTCATGATTATTTCTTTTTTTTAGTTTTATTGATTTTATTTTTTTAAATACATGACAGTGGAATGCATTACAATTCTTAATTCACATATAGAGAACAGTTTTTCATATCTTCGTATGTAGAGTATGTTAACACCAATTCATGCCTTTATACATGTACTTTGTGGGGGTTTTTTTTGCATTACAATTCTTATTACACATATATACCACAATTTTCATCTCTGTATATAAAGTATGTTGACACCCAATTCGAGTCTTCATACATGTACTTTGGATAATGATATCTATCACATTCCACTGTCCTTGCTAATCCCCTCCCATTCCCTCCCACCCCTCTTCCCTATCTAGAATTCATCTAATCCTCCCAAGCTCCCCTTTCCTATCCCACTATGAGTCAGCCTCCTTATATCAGAGAAAACATTCAGCATTTGTTTATTTGGGATTGGCTACCTTCACTTAGCATTATCTTCTCCTACCCCATCCATTTACCTGCAAATGCCATGATTTTATTCTCTTTTAATGCTGAGTAATATTCCATTGTGTATATATGCCACATTTTTTATCCATTCATCCACTGAAGGGCATCTAGGTTGGCTCCCCAGTTTAGCTATTGTGAATTGTGCTGCTATAAACATTAATGTGGCTGTGTCCCTGTGGTATGCTGTTTTAAGTCCTTTGGATATAGTCTGAGGAGAGGGATATAGCTGGGTCAATTGGAGGTTCCATTCCCAGGTTGTCATGATTATTTCTATCATGATTCTGCTACTTCAACATTTACTTTTTCAGTTAATATGCAAATTATCTATACTTTGAATTGTAGATGTGTATTTCTTCAATCCATACACATTATTTTATAACTTACTAAGTTGAGAGGATAAGTTACCTGTCCAGAATTATATAGCTAATTAGTGAAAGAGTTGAGGCTGAAAACTGAGGTCTAATTGTCCAGTGCATGTTGGCTTAAGAAAACAATCATAACAGATATTTTTACATTAATTATTATTTTTTCTTAAGGGTAGATTCACGGAATCATGATGAACTTCAACCTTCTCTCAAAACAAAAGATGAAAGGGTAAGTTATAATATCCTAATGTATTCTATAAAAATAGCATTTATTTTAATAYACTTTAATGCCAAAGATTCTCATCAAAGAAATGGGGAAAAAGATTTTTATTTTTTGCTGGGTGCAGTGGCACACACCTGTAATCCCAGTGGCTGAGACAGGAGGGTCTCAAGTTCAAACCCAGCCTCAGCAAAATAGAGTTGCTAAGCAACTTGGTGGGACCTTGTCTCTAAATAAAATACAAAATAGGGCTGGGGATGTGGCTCAGTAGTTCAATCCCTGGTACCTCATCCCCCCAAAAAACATTATTTTTTTCATTCCCTTATGAAATTATCCATCTTAATATAACAACTTCTGTTGTTTTCTTTAACAGTGTTAGGTTATATCTCTGGAAATATATTGTTTTGAATTTTTYAATTAACACTATCATCAAAATATAAATCTCACTGTCTGATCTGTATTTCTGAGTTACTTTCTTGAATAGATCTTTAATGCCAATCCTTAAATTGGTATGTTAAAAAAAAAAGGAGAAGTTAGATTTCCTGGATTTTGGGGGGAGAAGGTGTTGACTTAAATTCCTTTAATAAGATATTTCTTCATCTCTTTCAAATCTTTTTTTAAAAAAATAGATTATCACAAATCATAAAAAGAAAAATCTCTTCAGTGATACTGAAACAGAATATAGGTGTGATGACAGCAAGACAGATATTAGCTGGCTAAAAGAACCAAAATCAAAACCACAGCTAATAGACTATAGCAGAAATAAAAATGTGAAGAAATGTGAAAACAGGAAATCAAGTAAGAAATTATTAGAGAAATAATGCAAATTTATCATTTTGATTGTGTTAAATGTTTTATTGTTTGATAAGTATACTTTTATATGTAGACCATTTACAACAATATATTCCCTACAAATCGGACAAAACACTATAGTAGTTATGTTTTTGTTTTGTCCACTATGGTTATATTTAAATTAATTTTTAATAGGACTGTAAGGACACAAAATTTGATTTAATGTGGTCCTTGGTTCATGACATACTTTCATCACTTTTTTACGCATGGCTCACTTAACCTGCTGCTGAGCTAATTGGTTATTGTAAATAGTACACAAAGTACTCGTGAACTCAGAATCCTTAAACAAAACCAGAATTTGAGCCTTGACACTTTATTTACAATTATTTGCATTTATTATATATATTTTCTTCTCAGCATCCTGGTTCTCTGTTGTAGCCAGCTTACATGCTTTTTAGGAATTCATTTGGATGCARTAAAAATATATCAGAAGGAAAACAATTTTCAAGTCTTACAAAAAATATTTTCCTAGAGTATGGTTTCTGTTTTTGTGAAAATGAATCTATTGAAGTAGTTGAATACAAGTTTGAGTTATAGGTTTTGGCTAAAGATAATTACCATTTTTGTAGCTGAATATCAATGTCAATGTTTGCTAAAAGACAAAGACTTTATATACTTCATTTTTAAAAGAAGACAACTGTTTTTCAATTGAATTTATATTTATTTCAAGGGAATTAGCTTTTATTTAGTTTCAGAATAAAAATAACCAATGACTGCTAATAGGGTGAAATGGCTTAAAGAGAATTAAAATTAGACAAAAATAAATTGGGGAATATACTTTGAAATGAGGCTGAATCTCAAAATGTGAGAGTCTAACCAAATACTTCAGAAAGGAAAGGAGCAAGATTATCATAGGTAAAAGGGACAGGATTATAAAATAGCATAGTATATTCAGGGAATGCAGAATGGGGGTAGTTGTAACATACATAGATTTTATTTGTAACAATAATGAAAGGTGAGGCTAGATCTAGTCATGGAATCTGGAGTTTGAAACTGTGTGTTATAAGCCCAGGAGAAACATGGTAAGGCTCACATGACCTCAGGAGGCTCACAGTTTAATGGGAAGATATACAAATGAATACATTTCTTTAAAAGCAGAAGACTGGAAATTCTCAAGATTTTAGAGATTAAATACTATAATCATTAAATACTTATAAAATTGAACTTCTATGTGAATTACTTTGTTTAAATGATTAAGTGACAAGTTAATATGTATATAAGCTAATTGCCAGGATTAGAAGACCTTTCTTCCAAATAAACTTTACTCCTTTGWCTTGGATGATCTCATTTCTTAGGCTTCAGTGGATATTTAAAAAGATATTATCCTTGGAAAGGAAAAAAGGGAAGTGGAACTAAAGCTACTATCAATAATATGGGTAAATCTTAGAAACATAACAATGTATGGAAAACAAAGCAAATCATGGAATAGGACATGACATTAATCTTACAAAGCTTATTATATTTAGAGTTACATATCTGTGAAAYGAGTCTTTTTTAAATCAAGTAAATGAGAAACAGATTTCAGGATAGTAATTACCTTTTAGCAGAGAGGATATGGAGGACTATTAAAGAACATATGTAAGTAGATCAATACCATTCATAATCTGTTTCTTAAATTGAGTACKAAACTAATGGCTGTTCACTTTATAATTTATATTACAAATGCTTTTACATGTTTAAGAAGTTTGAGAATATAAAATAAGGAGAGGCAGGAAGATTGGCAATTCATACTATACCAAACACTATATAGTAAGAGTATCAATTCTTGAAATTTAAAATTCTGAATGCGTTTAAAGATGGATTCTTTCCCATCTATGATGTGGTACCACGAATACTAACTAGAGTTCAGGGGAATGGCTACGTGTGGTGGTATGTGCCTGTAATCCCAGTGTCTTGGGAGGCTGAAAGAGAAGGATCATAAATTCAAGGCCAGCCTCAGCAGTTTGGTGAGACCCTGTCTCAAATAAATACAAACAGGGATGTACGTAGCTCAGTGGCAGAGGAACCCACTGGGATCAATCCCCAGTACCAAGGGTTGGGGCAGAAAGCTTGGAGGAAGGGAATGCTCCCCAATCAGCCTGTCAACCTGATGGCCAAATTCTTCAACAGAACAGTAAAGATTTATGTGTGKGKGGGGGGCGGGGCGGGGGTCCTATGTCCTGTGGCTTAAAGCCACATGAAGAAACAAAATTTTAAAAAAGGATATACGCTCYTGTTTTTAATGATTTTTAATTTATACATGCAGCGATGGCTCTAAGAAAYTTAATGCCAGTTTTTATATATTTGAAAAATTTAACCTTATTTTCCTAAATTGCAGGACCATCCTTGGATAAGGGTCAACCAAGATCTAAAATGGTAAAGTAAGAAGTTTTGTGTTCAAACATTCCCTTAAAGTTATTTTTTTCTTATCATATAAAAATAATTCATTTGCCATCTCATAATTTTCTTCCTATCAATTGCTTATTTTCCATAATTGTTCTGTCTTTGCACACCTCTCTTGACTTGTGTTTTTTAGAATCATGTTGGCCTTATTTTTAGTCTGTTTCATTCTGTGTGATAACAGGTATATTTGACCTCCTTTTATTTTATATAGTTTATATCAGGTCTCTTACAGATTTAATGATAAGGAAGAAAATTGAAATGTTGATAAGGGAAAATAGTGGTAAAGAAGAAAATTGAAATGGGAAAATAAAACATAATCATTCAAAATCTATTAATCAAGAATCATTTTATTCTGACCAAATATTTTATGTATGTCTAGTGTCAATTTTATAGCAAGTAGCTTGTATTTTTTCTGTCTTAAATATTGATCTAGTAATATTCAGGAATTTTTCTGTTAAAGGCATACAAAAAAAACACCAAGCAGAGGGAGGAGATAGCTCCYGATGGGAGAACCAGACTTCCAAGAAGAGCAGCAGGAACCAAAAAGAATTATAAAGATCTTTCAAATTCAGAATCAGAGAGTGAACAAGAATTGTCACATTCATTTAAAGAGAGCTTTCTAGTAAAGGTAAATAGGTACAGTTCAGTTTAATAATTTATCAAAGCCTCTTGAAGTATTAAATATATACTTTTGTAAAAATATCAAATTTAACTTGTTACTTTTCTTAAATATCAAATTTAACTTGTTACTTCTATATGAGAAAACTGGTTGTTAAATATTTAGTTTTTAGTTTTAGGTGGACAGGACATAGATTTATTTTATGTGGTGCTGAGGATCGAACCCAGTGCCTCGTGCATGCCAGGCGAGCGCTCTACCATTGAGCCACAACCCCAGCAGAGAAAACTTTTTATAATAATTCTAAAAATTGGTCTCTAGGAAATATAGTGCTAAATTTTATAAGTTGGCATTAGTGTTAAAAATTAGATGTCTGTCTCTAGTGAAATTATAACTTTAAAATGATGTTTAGAAATAGAAAAGTACTTAATTCTTTCCAAAATTATGCTTCAGTATAGTACAACCTGTTGGGAAACTGTAGCTCTTTCTTGAATGAAAGCAAAACTATTGGTGTCAGGTTCTTCCTTTATACTGCCCCACCCTTGTCTCATAATGTTACAACATATTGCCAGCACCTGTGTTTGCACACTTTTATAATAAAAAAGTGAAAGATAATATGTCAGCTGCAGTTTTAAGCACTTTACAGATTTATCACACAAGAAAGTGATAGAATTTAAACCCAGAGAGTCTGGTAGRTTTCTGACTACTATGTTATATTGATCTTAAGTAAATAAACCTCAACCTCCCTTATTATCTCCTACCTGGAAGACTTCATTACTTACCTCCATATTTTGTATCACTTCAATTTTAGTTTACCTCACATCTAGGCAAATGAATCCAAGTCACCTCTCATCCTATTGCTCTTCAAAGAATTAACCCTGAAAATCTTCCTCTTGACGTTCAAAGCATCAAAATACCTTTCCATGCTTGCTTCTACTTTTCCCCATTATATACCCAGAACTGTTAAYAACCAGATACCATAAGACCTGAGCTTTCCACTGCCTTCACTCTATCAGCCATCTTCATATCCCAGTAAGTCCTCTCCTCACTCCTTTCACCACTCCTCAGTGCTTCAGATACTTCAAAATCTAGGAATTCTTTCTGGTTTCCTTAAATTGGATATAATCTTTGARCTCTTATAGCATTTTATTTGTATCTCTTATTTATTGTATCTAAACATTCCATTTTCCTGCACATTTGTCTTATGCCATCCAGTATAATAGATAGTTTTTCACTAATGCCTAGGCCCTTGTGGTGCCCTATGTAGTACAGCATAAAACATTTAATAAGTATTTCAATGTGATTTTTTATGTGTCTAAGTTTAAGTATTTGTATTGAAGTGTAACTTCAAGGTTATCAATAAATTTAGGAGGAAAACATCCATTCCAGAACCAAAACAACGAAACTGCCAAAGAAACGACAGAAAGTCTTCTCTGCTGATACACAAAAAGAACTATCAAAAGAATGGAAATACTCGTCTCTACTAAAAGATACTATAAAAGATAATAGCCTGGATTCATCTCCTTCATCTTTATCTGAGACTCCATCATCTGTAGAAGTAATGAGATGTCAGTATTATTTCTGTGCATTGTAATTGAATAATTAACTCTAATTATGTGAAAGTATAATTTGTAGATTAATTTTGAGGGATTACGATTATAGGTATTTAAGATTATAGGCAGTTAAAACTTCATTGTTATACTAGTTAATGTTAGTAACTTTATTTTTGCTAACTTGGGAACAATGTCATTTAAATKTTTCATGTTAGGAAATTAAAGATCAAATGCTTTAATATGAAAAACACTTAATATATGTTTGCAAGGTACAGTGAAAGCTCAACTAAGAGCCTATTTTTAATGTGCTTTTAGCTGGAAATATATTTAAAAGCACAAGTATTATAGGAATTTCTATTTTTTCCTTGTTACAATTTATTGACAAGAGTCCAAAGGATATCATGATCATCCGGTAGACTATCAGTAGATTATCTTCATAATAGATGTTTTGCTTTTTAAAAATAAATTGTAAAGAAAATTCACAATCTTTGGAGCTTTGGCATATGTATGTCTTTCAAGTAAAGAAACTCCTTATAGTTTGCACTTTTCGCTTCACTTTCAATTGCTTACAAGGATCTTTCTAAATGTTATTTCTAAATGTTATTCATTTCACTTAAAATTTAGCAAATAGATCAGTTAATTTACTTATGCTCCACCTAAAGTAGCTAGTGATTGTGTTCTTTTACTTTACTAATGCTTAGAACAACTGTCACTTCAGATAAGCACATACTGAAAAGACAGATGTACATGCCCAGATTTCATATGAAAACTGAGAATTCTTTTAAGACTTATTTCAGCAGTGAATTTCCTCATTTTATGAGATATTCAGATGAGATGATTTTCCTAGCCTTTCCAGTCATAAAATTCTGTGACTTTAATATGTAAAAACACTATTTACTATGGTGATAAAATAATCAAGATAATATTTAGATAATTATATTTCAGTTCATACTGTAGATATTTTATTAGAAAATGTTTTGAAAGTTTTTAAATTCAGCTATTTTTCAGAGCCTTACAAAATATTTTAAACATAATGTAGCCTTAATTTATGGAAAGTTGTTCTTTTATGTTTTTTAGTGGTGCTGGGGAATCTTTCAGTTTTAGAGATGGAACCCACATGCTAGGCAAGCACTCTGCCAACTGAGTCAGCCTGCAAAAGTTTATCTTTTTAAATATAGCTAAGATTTTAATGTTCAATAACTGGTCATATTCTTAGAATTTAATCATGCTATTTCTAAAGCAGACATCTTTGATAACACCTGCCATCTGTTTTGTTTGTGTTTTGTGAGGCACTACAGGTATAGAGAAAATAACAGAAAAGGATTTTATTCAGGATTATGACTGTAGAACAAAATCTCTATCACCTTACCTGAAAACCTCATCACCTGAATCCTTAGACAGTAACAAAGAAGTTGGAGGTCCAGTAAACTCATCCAAAAACAATGGAACAAACTTGCTATGTGCAAGTGAAAGTTGCTCACCAATTCCACAACCTCTGTTTTTGGTAAGCGGGGAGAGAGGAAAGGGGCAGAGAATCAGATATATCTGTCTGAAGGTAGTAAATCATTTGTCTATGATCTTAATCAAATACACATAACTTGTCTATTTAAGGTTTTGAAGTTGGTCTGTGGCCTGGGGTAAGAGGACATAATGACAAATAAGATACAGTTCTCAGCCTCAGTGAACCTAACAGACTCATGTATAGCTGCTACACAGGAAAAAAAAAATGTGGTATTGTGACAGAACAGCGTACCGATAGGATTCTGTGATAGGAATGATTGCTTCTGCTTTTTTATCTATACACCAGAACGGCATACATTTTCTAGTTTGGGATAGATTTATTCCTGCAACACAGGTACCTTCTTCACATTTTACCATAATTCAAAGTCCATAACCTTTTAAGAAACTTTAGTTAATTGAAATCACAAGTTGACAACTAAATTGCCAAGAATGTAGTTCTGAACAGTATAGTTTTTGCTTTAAATTTTTATAAGGAAGTTTAAAACTGATTGGTAAATAACATGAATATAAAAGTTAAAATATATATGATGGATTTTTTCTTTCAAATATCAAATTATATATAGTTTTGTAATAAAATATATGCCTAAATGTCCAAAACTTGATAATAAAGATAGGATGTCATTAAGTTTTAAAATGAGGTAGATAACTGAAATGTTGTTTAATGTTCATGAGGAGAAAAAGAAGTTTTGGGATACTTTTGTACCAGTTTATAAAACTTACCAGCGCCTCCTTTTTTGCTTTTATATTATATATGGCTTAATTTAGATAATTTTGAAGTAGTGAAAAAACAATTGAATGCAAAGATATTCGTGTTGTTCATTACTATGGTATATAGCTGAGAGTTATGAGTCAGACAGAATTGGGTTTAAATCCTGACTTCACTATTTGCTAGCCATGTAACATTTTACAAGTTAATGAATCTCTTTGCCCTATTTTATAGATGAAAAAGATGAAGTGCAATGAAAATTTTAGGCTGAACTATGTAAACATAGTACCTGATATGTAGTAAATACTCAAATATTTTCTTGATAAGTGCTAACCTTTGCATAYAAAGTAGAGTTAATTATTCAGTGGTAGAGTGCTTACCTAGCATGCATGAGGCCCTGGATTCAATCCCTAGCTCTGCAGGAAAAAAAAAAAAAAACTGTTAATGACTATTCAGCACACCTATAGCAGAGATCTAAAACTGCTGTTAAAACCAACCTTCTGTCTGAGTACTTTTAAATGAATGTGCTTTTTATTCCTAGAAGATTTTAAGGTCCTTTTATTCTTTTAAACCAGTAGTCTTCACAGAGAATATTTTTCAAATGACCTCTTGCAGAAAATTCCCAATATGTCAAACAGATGAGAGTGGAACTATGTTCTTCAAAGCAGAAGTAGGACATCTAAATCCTAGCCTGTATAGCTTTCCTCCCATATAATCCCCAACACACTTTTCAAGACTGAGTTTCTACAGACAATTTAAAAACTAGTTTCCCACAAGATTATTATCCTGTGGTCATTTATCAGTGTTGCTCTGTCATCCTTAGTTTCCCTGAATCCTTTAGTTCCTCAGTATCCCAACTTGAAAATGCCTAAACCAAGGTAATTCTCAATCTTGATACCACTAGAATTTGTTATGTATTTATCTGTTGCATACTGATACATGAGACATTTCCCCCTCCATTTACTGTTGACTCTTATTAAGATATTGGAAATTTTCTTTACAAAGTAGCTGTACCAGGTCTGGGGATGTAGCTCAGTGGTAGAGGATTTGCCTAGCATGTGCAAGGCCCTGAGTTTGATCCCCAGCACTATATAAGTTTTATTTTTTAAAAAGTAGCTATACAAGTTGACACTCTCAATAGTGCCCCTTCTCCACAGTTTTAACTAGATGTTATCAGATGACTATTTTTGCCAATCTGATAAGTGTGCAAGTTGTGTCAACAAGTATTCATATATGTTTTAGCCATCTTGTGAATTACCTGTTTATTTTCTAATTTTGTAAATGCCTTGTTCAATTTGTCTTATAAATTTATAGTTCTTAATCTATCCTGATATTTTGTATTGGTTATAAGTAATGTAGACTTTTTCCCCTAGTATGCATCTTGTCTTTTGACTTAGTTAAATCCAAAACTTCCATATGGCAAATGATGTAGTATCATCAATCATTTGGGTTATTAAGAAATCCTTCCCTGCCAGGCATGGTGGTGCATGCCTGGAATCCCAGGGATTTGAGAGASTTAAGGGAAGAGGATTGCAAATTAAAGGCCAGCCTCTGCAAYTTAACAGGACCTAAGCAACTTAGTGAGACTCTCTTAAAATAAAAAGGGATGGGGATGTAGCTCATTGGTAAAGTGCCTCTGGATTCAATCCTAGTACCCCCAACACACACCCAAAAAGAATTCCTTCACTAAGCTATTGTCTCATACAAGCATTTTCCTTTCTTGCAGAAATGTTACTTTTGATTTTAACTTTTAAGGTTTTTTTGTCTTTCTGAGCTTTCTTCTTTCATATAGATAATAAATTTATGCAACATCATGAGCAGAATACCTTGGTGACCACAGATGATCTATTAGGCACTATTCTGTTTTAATGACCTACTTACTGTCTTTGTGCTAATACTACATCATTTTAACAACTGTAATTTTACAGTTACACAGTGTTTCTCATACACAACCCATTCTTTTACTTCAGCATTCTTTTGGCCCTTATCTGTATAAACCTTAGAATTAGTTTGTCTAAGAAAAGAACTGCATTTCTCAGTATTGAACTGATCTTTTTCATCCATATCGTTTTTCTCTCCATTTTTTGGCCCTGTTTCCTACAAATGGTACCAAAGTTTTCACAAAGAAAATKAGGCTTCTTGTTAAAATTAATTCCTCTTACAAGTTTTCTTTTTGTTGTGTCTTAAAAACACACACACTGTTAAAAAAATTTACATTTTCTGCTGTTTTCATTTTATATAGGAACGTTGATTTTTGTATCTTGAATAACTTTGCTGAATGTTACAATTTTCTGCACAGATTCTCTTAGATGTGCTGTATAGACAATTATATACACTATTATTCATGAAAATTTTTGTCATTTCTGTTCCAATCCTTATACTTAATGTTTTCTTGTTAAGGTTGACTTTGACCTCTGTGGTATACTTCTGTGTCCCAGGCTTCTATACTAGGAGGGCTCTTTCTCTATATTTTTTGGTAGATACTTGTCAGCAAGTTAATGTTCTATTTCTCTTAAGATTTTTTAGAATTATTAATTTTTAAAAATTTTTAAAATTATTAATAACTTTAAATGTTTAAAAATTATGAGTAGGTGTTGAATTTTAGCAGCGAATTAATACTTCCTTCAAAGTGTAAGTAGTATTGATTTAATGTTTCCTATTATGTTTAAAGGGTTTTTTTTTTTGGCTTTAAACAGTTGTCTAAATTCATTTGGGTTTCTGAATCTTATTCATTCATAGCCTAGGCATCTTCAAAATCAGAATAATGCAATAGTGAATAGAAAAAGGTATAAATGCTGTGGTAAGCATTTATAATTCAGAAGGTAAGCAGTTATAATTCAGAAAAAAATTCAGTTATAATTCAGAAAAAAAGAGCTTATGGAAATTGAATTTCCAATTATTAATGAAAATCATATACAAAGCAAAAGAGAGGTAATATGCTATAATCTTCAGTTTTTCCTTTGAGATAATTCTTGTAAGAATCAAATTATTGGTCTTTAATGTTAATTATATTTAATACTTTTCAATAACTACTACCTGAAAATCTGATGTTTAAAGTGTATAGAAATACTTAATTATAGAAAGGTGTTTTTTGACATAAAAATTTAAAGTTTTAAAATGAGGGTAGCAAGGTCTTAAATAGTGAAGACTAGGCTGCTGAACCCCCTAACTTACATATTTATAATTAGGAATGGTTTCACAATTATATAAGAATTTGGTTGCCTTGAGCTTCTTGCCATCATAAAAGTATATCAGTCCATTAATAAAAATATTGTAATCTATAAAATACAAACACACTCAAGACTGAATTTTATAGTTTGGAGAAAGAAGTGGGATTTGAGATCGACCTAAGGTATATACAGATGAAGTTGAGCAATAACAGTAACCAAAATAAAGATTACAAAGTTTTAAAAAAGTGTATTCTAATAGTAAAACATAAGGTTAAATGTGAAAGATGCAGTTTGGAAGAAAGAGTTTAAACCTTAAATTTTTTTGTGGCTCCCCACAAAATTTAATGAAAAATTTAACAAGGAAAATTGGAATAGCAGTAATAGTCAAAAAAGCAAGCTSAAAACAATTAATATAGGATTGACAATTAGAATCTAGTTCCATTAATGGTATTGTTAAAGACGAAAAGAGWAAAAATCTGAGAAAGAATTGACATCATTTCAAATTACTGAGATTAGGATTTGAGCAAGATGGTCAAAGGTGAATCCAAGAGTACTTATAGTGTTTTGTTATTCTAACTTCTAATATGTTTTTTAGGGAAGCCATTCACCATCTCCATTATCCATGTCTAGTGAAAAAAGAGAGAAAATATTGTTTGATATGCCTTGTGACACTACTCATGTATCAGGTTTGTAGTCAGCCTTTTTTTTTTAAGTACTAGTTTTTGAAATAGTTCCTTTAGATGAAACTTCACATTATTATGTGTTTTAAGTCATGCCATTATTTAGTTAATGTCAAAAATATAAACTAGTGAAGGGAATCCAGGTGGTTCCACAATTTAGCTGYTATGAATAGTGCTGTTATAAACATGTGGCTGCATCACTGAAATATGCTGTTTTTAAGTCCTTTGGGTATAAACCTAGGAGTGGTATAGCTGGGTCAAAAGGCAGTTCCATTCCCAGTTTTCCAAGGAATCTCCATCTGCTTTCCATGTTGGCTGTACCAGTTTGCAGTTCTACCAACAATGTTTGAATGTGCCATTTCCCCCACATCCTTGCCAACCTTTATTGTTTTAATAATATATTAAATAAAAATGTATTAATAATATTCTTAATAGCTGCCATTCTGACTGGAGTGAGATGAAATCTTAGAGTGGTTTTGATTTTCATTTCTCTAATTGCTAGAGATGTTGAACATTTTTTCATGTATTTGTTGATTGATTGTATATCATCTTCTGAGAAGTGTCTGTTCAGTTCCTTGGCCCATTTATTGATTGGGTGATATATACATATATACATACATACATACATACATACACACACACACACACACACATACACACAATGGAATATTACTCAGAATTAAAAGAGAATAAAATCATGGCATTTGCAGGTAAATGGATGGAGTTGAAGAATGTACAGCTAAGTGAAGTTAGCCAATCCCAAAAAACGAAATGCTAAATGTTTTCTCTGATATAAGGATGCTGCTTCATAATGGGGATGGGGTGGTGCAGCATGGGAGGAATAGATGAACTTTAGATAGGGCAAAGGGGAGGGAAGGAAAGGAAGGKGTCATGGGATAGGAAAGATGGTGGAATGAGACAGATAACATTACCCTAAGTATATATGTGAAAACACAGATGGTGTGGCTGTACTTTGTGTACAACCAGAGACATAAAAATTGTGTTCTATTTGTGTAATATGAATTGAATCACACTCTGCTGTCATACATATCAAATTATAATACATTTTTAAAAATTGTAGATAATATTTGTACCTACCTTACAGGGTTTTTCAGTGGCACAACTAGCATATCTGACACCTAGATTGAATCATTGTGTAAAAATATTAAAATGATTTTATAAAAAAATAACAAATAAAATGAATAATAATTATATATATATAAATATATATATATAAACTAGGTAGAATTTAGAGAGCAATTGCTTAAAACATAATTAACTGAAAGGCTTTTTAAACAAAAGCAAGAAATTATTAGGTATTTTAATCAAAATTATAGCACTATTCATTATTTTTAACTATTTCTAAGGCTCCACTCAGCATCTTAGTTGTAAACGAGTGTACATAGAAGATAATCTTGGTAATGTCAATGAAGTGGAAATGGAAGAAGAAGAACAGAGAGTCCACTTGCTTCCCAAAAGATGGTGTAGAACTGAAGATGCAGACCACCACACCTGCAGAGGTGGGTATATCAAAAGCCTGTGTCGGCATACAATGATTGGAAGGTGGCTTCTTAGATTCTAGATGACTTCATCTTCAAAACAAATTCCTTTGTAAAGACAACTTTGAATAATTCCAAGTTGGACTGTGTTTCATTACAAATAAAGTAGGAAGGGTCACAGATGATACTCAAACTCCCCCTCCTTCTCTGTCACTTATTACTGCATTTAAATTTTAGTAGAGTATGAATTAGTGTTAGTATGTCTCTAAAACTCATGTTAATGATTATCTGGAAGTAGTTGTAAGTTTAAAAAAATCCCAAAATGCTCAGTTTTAATGTTGTCATTTCTTGCTTAATAGCCATACCAAAAGGTTTCTTTTATAAATCAGAATTTTATTTTTAAATTAGAAAAACTTAATGAGGGGTTGGGGTTGTGGCTCAGCGGTAGAGCACTCGCCCCRCACATGCAAGACCCTGGATTTGATCCTCAGCACCACAGAAAAATAAATAAGTGAAATAAAGGTATTGTGTTTTTAAAAAAAGGCATAATGAAGTCTACCTTTGATTTCATAAACTTTAGGTTATACATAGACTATGAAAATAGTAATGTTTATTTTAACTTTAGGTGATTGTTTTTGTTTTTTAGTATCTGAAAACATATCTCCATTATCAACAGATGATTTTTTAATTCCTGAGGAGAACTGGGAAAGTGAATTTTCAGGTGTAGGGTTGATTTGTGAGAAGATCAATTCAGAATTTAAGAGGAAGATTCATGTGAGTTATCATTCTTTATAGTTTWTACTCAATAATATGATAACATATATCCCACATTTTATTAGACTGTTGGCTTATTTGGTCCTTGGGCAACAAAACACCCATTCTCAAATTCAACTTCCTGCACATGTGAAAAACTGAAATAATTATCAAGTTAAAAAAAACAAAACAAAACAAAACCTGCTTTCATGAGCTGAGTTTCTCTCACTTTAAAATCTGTCCATTGTCTATATTGTTTATTTTTCTACTAGTCTTATTTTGCTTTTCAGCTTCTCATTTTGTTTCTTCTATAATTTTTATTTTCCTGAACAGTTTCCTTTCGTGCCTCKTCTTTAAACATTTTTATTTCAGAGGTGACCATTAATGAGAGTAGTGTGATACAGTATGTTACCCGGCCTCCTTTGTTCTACCTTGTTTTTTTTTGTACTTGTCTGTCCTTGTTTTTTTTTTTTTTTTATGCTCTAGAAGCCTCAAAATGAAATGATATATGCAAAAATTCTCTCCCAAACAATATTTAATTATCAGAATGTTTTTCTACCCATATCTTTCTCTCATATACCTATATTTGAAATAGTTCTTTTATATTCCTTGCTGAATAAAAGGTATTTTAGCACTATCAGGGTTGTTATCAGCCCTGCCTCATGTTTGCCCTTTTCTTCTGCTCAGGGATAAAATTGAAAATTATTTAAAATTCTATGCATCTCTTTTTAAAATTTATTTTTACCTTTTCATTGTTGTTGTTGTTACTGGGGACTGAACCCAGAGGTGCTCTACCACCTTAGCCTTTTTATTTTCATTTTGAGACAGGGTCTCACTTTTTTACTGATAGAATGACTGAGCTTGTTTATAAAAATCTTCAGTTTAAACAATTTAATTTTTAGTTTTTTAACTTTCTAAACTTTTTCTTGGTCATTTAAATTTCATGGACAGGTTTTTCTCTTAGTATGGTCTTGTTTCAATTGTTGTTTTGTGAAGATATTGTAAGTTAAAAATTAGTATTTTTCGGTTTTTCTCTTAGTATGGTCTTGTTTCAATTGTTGTTTTGTGAAGATATTGTAAGTTAAAAATTAGTATTTTTCAGATCCGACATAAAATGATGGATTATTTTACTAAGCAGTCTTGGAAAACAGCTCGGCAACATCTGAAAACAATGAACCATCAAATTCGGGAGTATAGGTTTGTAATAACTTTCTGTTCTGAAAACTTCTGAATGTTGTATATTCATATATTGAAAATGCATATTATGGATGCTATAGTTTTTGAACTTAATATTGTGTTTCTTTAATAGGATTAAAAAACTTGATAAATTCCAATTTATCATCATAGAAGAACTGGAGAATTTTGAAAAAGATTCACAATCTTTAAAAGATTTGGAGAAAGAATTTGCGGTTTGTGCTTTTAAGAGCTTAAACATAACTTTAAGCATTGGGAATGTAACACTAAAGAAAATGTCAAAAAACAGACACAATTACTTTAAACTCTTGACTTTAAAAAAGCTATAGTTAGGTTGCTCTCTCAAAGCAGAAAATAAATGAGTTATTCTAATGCATTTTGTTTTTTATAACATAATCTAGTTTTACATTTTTAATCAGCTTTATATGAATACTTAAATTGAAAACAAGTTTATATTATCTTTTTATTATTCTATTATCTTTGATAATCCAGGAGAAATCTTCAGAAATGTTACACTCAATTTTTTAWCTCTGAAAGTATATAATATCTAGAATATTCTTAGCCAAATTGTTTATTTAAATTTTAAATATTAGAAATATACAAATTTCAACTTTTAAGTTTTAGTTTTCAGTCAYATTGAAGTACAACTAATTTTTTATCCTAAAATTTAGGACTTTTGGGAAAAGATATTTCAGAAGTTCAGTGCATATCAGAGAAGTGAACAACAGAGGTTAGTATGTTATTCTTAATGACTTCTAGAATCTATAAAATGAGGTTTTRAAATTAAATATAAATTTGAAAAACATTGCATATATACACAAAGCAATTTAACTTGAATTCCTAATAAATACAAAGGTAACTCATTTTATTTGTTAGGCTTCATCTTTTGAAAACATCATTGGATAAAAATGTCTTCTATAACACTGATTATGAAGAAACTGTATTTACATCTGAGGTAAAAATTTATATTTTTATATATAATCTTTCTTGATTTTGGTTAGTCTGGCTTTTTGCTCTAAAAACTTTATGACAAATTTCATAGGGGAAATATGTTTACTTATTTACAGATGTGCCTGATGAAAGAGAACATGAAAATGCTCCAAGACAGGCTTCTGAAGGAAATGGTGAGTCAGCTGAGCTTGCATTTCCAATGCACTTGTCAAGCTTAATGTCTTGTAATGGGATGTTTTTCCATAGGGTTTTCTTTTTTTCTCTTTGGTCTTAGAGAAGGCAATTTAAGCCCATTAACTTTTAGTTTTTAAAATAACAGTAATGTAGTTACAGCAAAGAATGAAGGTAATATAAATAATGAATTCCTCCAGACGGTGGGTAAAAAGAATATCAATTTGTGGGGCTGGGGATGTGGCTCAAGCGGTAGCACGCTCGCCTGGCATGCGTGCGGCCTGGGTTCGATCCTCAGCACCACATACCAACAAAGATGTTGTGTCCGCCGAGAACTAAAAAATAAATATTAAAAAAATTCTATCTCTCTCTCTCCTCTCTCACTCTCTCTTTAAAAAAAAAAAAGAAGAATAGCAATTTGTAAGTTGAAAAATTAGCTGGAGGCAATACTTCTTTTCATGTCCTCCCACCACCTCTGAGCTATATCTCTAGGCTTTTTATTTTTTCATTTTGATTCGGCATCATGCTAAGTTGCCCAGGCTGGTCTTGAACTTGTAATCATCCTGTTTCAGCCTCCAGAATTGCTGGGATTACAAGTGTGACTACCATGGTTGTCTTTGCACTGTTCTAAACACTGCACTGCAGCAGGACAAAGCTATCTAGAAAGGCTGTGTAATTTAGTGGAATACTTGTTCAGCAGGACTTTATGACTTACATTTGAGGATGAATATCCTCATCTTCCCAAAGATTGTAGACAACAGCAAGTGCACCTGACAGGTGAATATGTTTGGGTGTCTTTCAAATTGGGAGATATTTTTAAGTGCACTTTAGCACTTAAAGAGTGCTAAACTATGGTGGTCTATGAGATATATTAATATACTTATGAAATTTTAATAGGATTTCAGTATGCTGAAAATAGGAGAGGTCCAGGATGTTGTAGCTAAGCCAGTGTAGCTTGAAACAAACCAGAACTACCTGACTAGGTTGCTCCTTCTTGAAACTTTCTTCTAGATTAACTATATTTTATTCTTATTTTAAAAATTTAAATGTCATTGATATGGGGAGTTAAAAGATTTTTAGGTCTTCTCTCAATTTTATCATCTTGGATATTACTGATAATCACAGAATTCTATGGATGTCTTGATACAGATTCTGGTGAATTAGATCAAATGAACACTGATACACAATATCTTTATGAAAGGGGTTGTTTTATAATGAATACCTAAAAACAGGTTTGTTTGTTTTTTCCTATTTTATGTGATAATGTAAAATCCATGATTTTTTTTCTTGGTCATAGCAAGAAGAGGAACTTCTTAATGTACGGAGAGGACTGATGTCATTATTCATGGCCCATGAAAGAAATATTAATGTGTGAAATCTTAATTGCTATCACATGTTTTATCTAATTATTTTTTTGTATGTAACTAAGGAAACAATAGATTAGTCCTACAAAGAAAAAAACTGCATGTCACCTAGTCAAGTGTTCCTTTGGAGGAACCCCCAAATTCAAAGAAATCCCTCCTTATGGATGAGAAACACTGTAACTGGACTCCAAGCCCTAAAGACTTTTGTCTACACAATAATACTTTTTCTGTTTTAGAGAGGGGAGGTTTTGGGAAACCAAATAGTAAAAGGAATTTACACTAGTTAACTATACTTAAAAGTTAATTTAATAAATTTTATTATGTAAAATGCATTGTAAAATTAATACCATTTGAACTAAAGTACATTATTAAATTTGTTTAATAGTTCAGAATATTCAATTAATAAAAATTTAGGCACACTTAATAGAGAAGGAAGTCCACAATTTAAAATGTTCACCTTAGTAAACCAGTACTTTCAGCTCACTGTTTCATTCAGTTTTGGCTTCAATGTATTAGAAGGCACTAAATGCCTAAAATTCTTACTGTATTATCTAAATATTTTAATTCAGCATAGAAATCAACTCATAAGAAGGCTATTTGGCAGGTCATTTTTAAGCTCCTGATATAGTACTATTTTGCTAGATTATTTTTTCAAAACGAGTACACATTGATTTGCTTTCATATATTACAATGAAATAAATGCCTATTTCAGTTGCATAAATATTATGAGATTATCTTTATTTTCTCTTTTATGATCATTGAATCAAACAAAATATCCTCCTCTAATCAGATGACTGAAATATAATAATATAAGCAGCTTTTATTGTCCCTTGCATATTTAAGGTAGCAGAGTGTTTGAATACCATTATGTAAATATGATGGTAAAAGTGGCTTCTTAGTCGACATAAGCTAAAAACAAAACCCTTTCATCTTCGCTCATTCAAATACTGGCATTAACTAAGATTTATGGATAGGGTAGTGGGATTTCTATTTCAAGAGAGAGTGACATCTCTGTTATAATATTAAATACTACTCAACTTGTTACTCCATATTCCTGTGAGACTTCAGAACTAATCCCTTCATGCATGACTTAACCAGTTTAGCTCACAGTCAAATCAAGACTCCCTAAATCATGTTACACTTATTCCCACTGTATATATGAGCCATTCCAAGCTCGTACTTCTTCCCGACGGACCTCTCTGCATTACCAACAGAATATGACCCTCATTTTCTAATGTTCTTATCGCCCCAAACTTTTTGTCTTTCCAGCTTATTTTCTAGAATGATCCCAGGCCATCTACTCTACCACTTTTTCTCTCTTCTTGTTACCCTTCTTGTTTGTTCTTCCTTCCTTACCCATTTTAGATTCCAAAATAATATTCTCTTGACCTTTCTCCTGTCAATGTTACCTAATAATTCAAAACTTTTATTCTATGAGCTGAACAACGCTGGAAAAAATTGTGCCATCAAGCTTTAAATTTATGTTCACACGTTTCAAATGGCACACAGCACTGCTCAACAGTCTAAACTGCCCTGTTTTATTGGCTTTACTATTCCAGAGTATTTTATATAAAATAACCCACTAAGTCCCAGGTTTTCAATTGTGCAAATAGCTCAACAAAATTGACACAAGTGCATTAAAAATGGTTATAAACACAATATAGAGCTTATTTATTAATATAACTATTATATCATTATGTTATTTTACCTAATATTATATAATTCTCTGATRAGTTTTTACAGGTGTACCACATCTGGGACAATGGGACAAAATGGGTTCATTCTTTATTTTTCAACTGAGGGTCTCACCTCATAATTTCCTCATTTTACCCTAAAATCGAAATGTTACTTGCTTGCATCAATAACGAAATCAGAAAAATTGGTTTCTTCTTTGTTCTAATGGCATATTTGCCTCTTTAAGGACAGTCTGCTCACTGGAGCTCTGAATCGCATTAGCATTGATTTTTCCTCTCCTCTCCTCGTTTATATAGCCCATGTTTATTAAATAAGTAAATAAGGCCCTCCCTTGAACATCAAATTCTCCTCTTGTGCCTTTCCCATTTAATTCTTGACTCACCTTCACTGAATGCATATCAAAATAACTGTAGTTAGTACTGTCTCAATCACTTCCTGTTTGCTCCTTACCTTCCCTCAGTCCAAGCTTCTGCACACTACTTCATTGAATCCACTTTTATCGAAACCACCATTTATATTACCAGACCCAATCTCTGTCTTAGCCTCTCTGTGGTATTTCACACTTAAAATCCTCTAGTCTCTTTCCCAGCTTGTCTTTACTCTTCATGTGGGCCTCAGGTCTAGTCTAGTCATGTCATGTCTAGTCTGTTTCTTTGTTCCTCTATACTTTCTCTTTAGGTAATATCATCCAGTCCCATGTAATAGCCATGTCTTGTGTTGATGTTTCACAGATGTATAACAGTATAAAAGTCCTGACCTTCACATTAAACATCAGAATATTATCTATTGTAGCTAATGGACAGTTCAAATAAGATCTCACCTCTCAAACAATTTCCTTTTGTTCCTCTTTTATTTTTTTTCTCCTCTTTTGTTCAGTATGCTTTAGGCATCCTGGCTTGAACAATCTTATTCCTCTGAATCTTTTGTTCATGTGATTTCACTTTTCTAGGAAGACTTGCTGTCCTTCATGTCTCCATTTAAATGGCAATTCTTCAGAAAGAACTTCTGTCACCATCCTAGTAAAGCTAATATTACTCTATCATATGGCAGTTTTTGGAATCCGAAGTCTTTATTTTTGCCCCTCTTCCCCAAACCTACTCCAGAAACTTCTGTAGGAGCCAAGAACATTAACTGCTTCATTCATCACAATTTTCAGAACCTAAAAGAGTAATGAAGGAACAAATGACATAGCCTTTCCAGTAGGGATTTACTAAGTTAGACAGCCAGTGTGTCTCCTGAAGCATTCACGTCCTGTGTGTCAGTATTTTCATTGCAATTAATGAGACATGACATGCACTGCACTGAATTTACTCTAGACACACAGCTAAGAATGAGCCCCTTCCTCATACTTAAAAATGAGGAGATAAGTGCTTTAAAGTCATGTAGATTCATATGAATTTCCATTTTGTTGAACCCTTGAAGGAATTGTGAAAACAAAAATCGCCTACATGGACTGTTTTGCTAACATGTTGATGTCTTTGTAATGGTTAGTTTTTATTTTCTTAGACCCATGGAAATCGTCTGAAATAACATCAGGAGGAAAAATAAGTCAACATTTTTTTCAGGAATCCAGATATATTGAGTGAGATCAATATATTATATACCACCTCGAACTTTAGATAATATACGTTTAGCTTGTACTGTGATAGCAATAATTTTAAGTAAAAAGGATTTGAGGAGTGGGATGTCAGATTATTGAAACATTTGCCTTTAATATTGATAAGGCTTTCTTTATGTTTTACCTAATTTGACAATGCATTTTATAGAAGTCAGATGACTATTTTTCAGTATGAAATTATAATGAGTATTGAGATTTGGAATAGATTTGATGTTAGAATCTTTTAGGCTTATATAACTTTTAGGTATTTTAATTGTCTTGGGTAATTCATTTCTAAAATTTTCGACTATACATTTTTTTTTTTTAAGTTTAGAGCAGGAGTTGGCAAACGTCTTAAAAGGCCACATAGTGTATGTTTTAGACTTTGTGGGCCAAAAGGCAAATTTATGACACTTCAAATGTAACCACTTAGAAATATAAGAACCATTCTTTGCTTGCAGGTCATTAAAAATTTTTTTTWAAAAAGCTGACCAGATTTGGTCTGTAGGTTGTAGTTTACATATCGCAAGTTTAGAGGAAAAATTTTAAAAATTACATCTCTCTGTTCTTCATTGCAATTTTCCCCAGTTTATCTTATTGTTTAACAGAAGTAGTGATTTAAATCAATTTTTCATGAGCAGAGTAAAGTTGGTATATTAATCAATAAGACTAAAAATTGTTGACTTTTCTATTACATTAAAAATAAATGATCATTGTAGTTAATGACTTGCATATCTTACCTGAATTACAACCTAACACCATGTTAGTGTACGTTTACCACATTCTGAACCAAATAGAGCTGCAGCGTAGTAACTCTCCCGAAATACACATGGAAAGGACATGAAAGAGAAAAAAGATTAGATTAGTATAGCTAGGTAGGAATCTAAATTTCACAGCRATTACAACAGTGATCTAAATACCAAGAAACCCTGAAGCCATAAACACCCGACACCAATTTAAAAGGCCAGCATATCCATCAAACTYATAGTAAAATGTATGCTTTCCACATAGCCTTTAATTCCACATCAGAATTTCATTGTAAAGTCACAAATTCTGCCAACTTTGAGTTCAGTGCTTAGTGTGGAGCTCCAGTTGCTGGAGGTAGTTCTTCAGCCATTTTATCTTCATTACTGGTTAACATTTACCTGGTCACACTTACTGTACATGAATGCATACTTATTTATATAAGTGTTTAACATAGTTAATCAAAAGTTGAAGTAAGCATAGAAAATGCTGTGAATAAACAACTAAAGTAGAATTTTGAGCAAAATAACACACCAATAAATTAATGTTAGCAAACAAATCTAATATGGATTGTAAAAATTAGAGCAAGATAGCAAGCAAGTGGTTCCTGAAATCATGCTTTGTGCCATACCAGACATCCCCACCAAGAGGCAGGCTAGGTGGGAACAGGGAACAAACTGGTGGTGTAGGCCAGTATAGTAGTATGTTCAGTGTGCGCATGTTTAAAGAGGGCTAATAAACCGCATTTAAAAAGCATAATGCACAAAGAATATATACTAGCATGTTGGCAACTTTAAAATCAAATTATTAGCATGTACACCATATCCAGATTTCTCTCCCATTGCTTACCAAGAAAATATAATTTTAGGGATTCTTGTTTATATTTTTAAGGCAGTTTACAGTTGTGTTTAGAATCTTCAAAAATGTTTTTTATTACTCTGAACATAAAAATGTGCTCTGTTTCCATAGAGCTATGGACCTGATATCTGGTAGATTTTTCCATCTCACGTTTTGTCTACACATGAACTAATGATATATTCCTAATGTTACCATTACCAATAGATATACAGAGAAATATGATCATGTATAATTTATAGGAATTAGCTTTTTGAAAACTTTCACATATACAGCTGGATTTTTTATGTTCAGTTATATTGAACATCTTCTAAGATGTTCTCAGATGAAAGAGATTAAACTTCAGATAAGGTCTCTGGAAAAGAACTTGAGTAATGGGTACTAGAAATGTGGGTCTAGTAATTTTAAAAGTTCTTTTGGGATTTCATACTTCTGGACTAGAATTTGCTATTGAAGAACTTTGCCTCTACCACCAATGTGACCTGTAGTCTTAAATTAGACTTGTAGTTACCATTTACTTCCACAAGATGGACCACTTAATGATAGGGTCTTTTTGTTTTTGTTGTTTCTGTATTTTTTTCCCACTTCAGTTATTCAAAAATTATTCAGATGCTAAAATTTCAAAGTCCATTTACATTTTTTAAACTTGCTTTTTACAAAGTCATATGATGTACYATTTATTCCCCCATCACATTAGCTTAAAACTTAGAAAATATTTCTGGAAGTTATTTAATGTCCTTAATAAAATAACTAATAGTTTGTAAAAAATCTTTTAAGCTTCTTAAAAACAGAATTACTTTCATTATTTAAATATTACTTTAAAAATCCTTTGCTATTTTCACAATATTTTAAAGTCAATACATTAAAAACCTCATTGTTGAATACTACTAGTAATCATTGACAATTTGTGTACTGCTTCTATTGTTGCAAAATAAAGTTTTATACTTAAGTATTTAGACTCAAATATAAACTCTTCATATTTATACACCACATGCAAATTTATATTCATTATTTCTCCATTACTTGATTTATGATGAATTGCTTTTAACTTTTTTTTCCAACTAACTTGAGATGTGCTATCACATACTTATTTAGTACAGAATTATATATAATTATCAGGTTCAGAGTAAATATACTTGATTCACGTTTATCTTTTAACTCTTACAATACCTGATACAGCATGAAATATGGAAGTATAATTTAGAGCAGCAGTTTATGACTAACAAAAACCCAAAGGCAGAAGTTAGATACTGTTGCCAAAAATTTGGATTAAAATTAAAATGTCTGCTGGTTTTAGGATATCTTAGAACCTTTGCATCGTAACCCAAATCCTCCTTTGAGTATCCTGAAATTTATATTAATTTTTGTTATCCATTAGATATGTAACTTGGGGGAAAAAAACTAAATATGGGTCCAGTCTACCACATTATTTCTAAGCATATGCTCTATCTGGTTCTTTCCTAAGCAGTAATGATCTTTTAAGCTTTGAGGGCCCTGGGTGGTCTCTAGAACAGTATAACCTTTCTCCCTTTGTTTCATAGTAAGTACGAAGCTATTTCTGTGTGAGGGAGATGATAGTTTTAGTTTATTACAACATTTGGGCTCCAATTAATATTTTAAATTGAGCACAATATAAAATAATGGGAGCTGATAAAACATAGTTGAAAAGGAAAAAAAATTGGTGATTATCTAGCCACAAATAATGTTATGAATAAAACAAGTTATGTACACATCTTAAATGCTTATAAAATTAACTGACTTCAACTGGGCATGGTGGCAGAAGCCCGTAATCCCAGCAACTCAGGATAWTGAGACAGGAGGATCACAGGTTCAAAGGCAACCTTAGCAATTTAGTGAGGTCTTTTCTCAAAAAAAGSGGGGTGAGGTTGGCGAATCTAGCTCAGTGGTTAAGTGCCCCTGGGTTCAATTCCCCTACCCAATATAATTGATTTCTAACTAGAAATAATTTAGACATTTCCTTTCATATACAAAGAAATCAAGGCTCAGGAAAAACAAGTGATTGACATGTCATAGAAAAGTAAGAGGTAGAACTGGGATTTTTTTTTTTTTTTTACCATGACAAGATTTTCTTATAAACTGTAACTTGACTAATAGCAAGTACATTTGCTAGTATCTAGGACTGACCACAAGTCTCTTCAAAGTGCTGCCATAGGGGTTGAACAGTTTCCTCAGTAGTCTTAAGTAGAAAAGGGAGGATCATAGGAAGCAATGAGGTAGCATACATGATAAACATTCATAGAGGACACTCAGTTGCTCTAGGCACTCTCTGGCCCCATACCAGTGACTCGCATTTATTGAAGGCCTAGAATGTGCTAGGCACTGTGCCAGCACTTCAGCTACTCTCTCATTCAGACATTACTGCAGTGTTGTGAGACAAGGGTGATCATCCAAGAGAAAATAAGCAATCTTCTGAATAGGAGTTTAGATTTGAGAATAGGTTTTGCAAGTACCTAGTCGTGTTCCAAGCCACTACATCTCCTGCTTCAGCAGCATATCAGTAGGGAGGGAGGGGAGGCTCATCTCTGCCAGGACACTTATGCAAAAACCCAAAAAATATTTGGGTATGTGCCAAGTTTCATTTTTACCTTTGGGCCGGGGTAAATTTCCTCTTATAGTGTCTCGGCTTCATCTAAACCTGTATCTCTTATAACAGGGTTTTTAATATTTGCAAATGTGAACTTAAAAATACTCAAACATGAAATATTTTACCAAAATGAAAATTATGCCCACAAATTATTGCTTATTTCTGGATATATTCAGTACTGATTTGTAAGTTAATTGGGTTTTCCACATATACTAAGATTTTATGAAACAAAAAATGGTGTTCTTATTCATGTATTCAGATTGTGATGGTTCCAAAGTACTAAAAGTTACTTGTTCCACAAATGCCTATTCTAAGGTATCATTCATCCCCACCCCAAGAAAATGTAAAGCCTGAGTTAATTTCCTGCAATAAGTAGTCATTTAATTAAAGAACAAAATTAACAGGAATCAAAATGTCAGAGCTGTATTTTTTTGTTAGACATATAAAAAAAGAAAAAGTATAATACAGTAAATCATTTTATATAACATGAACTTAAAGAGTTTTCAAATTAATCATGATCAGAATAAAAATGTCTCTTCAACAAAATACTGAATGACACTGCGTCACATGTCCCTCACATCAGAGGCCTGGGAGTGGTGAGCCTGCACATGCACTTCACCCGTCCTCCATACACTGCAGAACTGTAAAACGAGATTGAAAGGCAAACAACAGTTTTCTTCTGGCAGAGTTACTTTGGGCCTTAACTGACCCCAACAGTTCACACTCCTCAGACACCAAAGAAGTATGTCCTCTGGTTACTCCTCTTGTAGGTAAGTGTGGCCAAGATTGCACCTGTGTGATTCTGCTCTCCTCACAAACACAGCAGGTAGTCTTGAGCTGATTTTCAGGAAAAGTTCCCTGATGAATGTTCAAAATGTTGGTATCAAAAATTAAACACAAATTCTTCTCAGAAGAAAATCTCTTATGGCCTGTGGAATCTAGAAATTATAAAAACAGTTAAAATTGTCAAAAACCTCCACATAGAAATTTGCTGTTATTCAAAGCTTCTCTGAAGTTCACTATGAAAAAAAAACCGGAGCTTCTCTGGTTGGTAGGATAGAGGGCTCCCAACTCTCATGCCCTTGTTGTACCTCAGAATGTATTATAGGTGTTCCCAAGAGTGCAGCATATAACTTGGTATTAAAGTTGCTAGTTAAACCCTCAAACTACACAGAAAGGTGAGGGCTTTGCTAAATCAGCAAAAGTAATGAGGTGATAAATTATTGGAAATTAGAGCCATGAGTATTTTTAATAGAGTTGATAATATGTTCATAGTAATATTTTAAAAAATCTCATGACCTAAAATATTATTTTTAAAAATTGATATGGAGTGCTAAAATGTGGCATGAAGAACCTTGAATTATTTCCTGATGTTCAGGTTTGGGTTCATTCTTTAAAGATTGAACCCAGGGGTGCTTTACCAGTGAGCTACATCTCTAGACCTTTTTAATTTTTGAGACAAGGTCTTGCTGTGTTGCTGAGGCTAACCTTAGAACATGCAGTTTCCTATCTCAGCTTCCCAGGCTGCTGGAATTACAGGCGTGCACCATACCCAGCTGAGGGTATGAAAATTGAAAATTGTGTCATCTATCAAAAACTTTTAAGCTAAATACCCAGAGTAAACATTTTAATAATGTATATTGGGAAAATGTAATTGAGATTTTATACTTAGGCTGTGTAGTAAATTAAATCCTATTTTTTAAAACAAAGTGAACATTAAAAATAATTGCATGTTTTACTATATTTTAATTCCTAAATGTTCATAAGGAACCCATTTGGAATAAGCAAAACTAAGATGATCTATTCTTCCCCAGAAATATGTCCATTGTGTGAGGAGATCTTAACAAATTTAAAAATTATTTATTTGCATAATTTTCTCCTAACTACCTGCTTTTCCTGCCTTGATACATTTTTACTCAATATAACAGAAACCAGAGGTACAGAGGTCACACAGAGTGTACAGAGCAACTGCTCTTCAATACTTACAGTGGCTACTTTGTGACAAACAGAAAATAAATCATTTTAGTTTAAGGCAGTATGTATGCTCAGGATTTCCTTTGTCTTTGTACTTGGAGCACAAGCATCTTAGAGAAAGCAACTGCTGCAATGAGAGTATTTCATCACAATCATCCCCATAAGATTAAAGGCAGGTGAGAATTTTAAGATAATTATTACTGGTCATGGCTATGGGAAAGAAGGGAAAGCAGAGTACCAAGAGTAATCTTTTTCCCAACTTCATCATCACCAAGAAACCCAGTGTCATCCTTTGCATGTAGTGGCGTGGACAGAGAATATGTGCACCTGGATGGGAATGGTTGTGGATCYCCAGCTGGAGGTGGGCTGAATGGGAGCCTCCTTGATCACATGTGCAGTCACATTCTCAGCATCTTAAATAGTACCTGCCACACCGTAGGTGTGCAGATATTTGCTGGGGAAATGATGCTCTTTTAGCTTTGGGGAACATTAACTGTGTTAAATGTGATTATAAATTTAAGATACAGAAAAGCAAGTGGGAAGGTAGAGAGTAATTTCACAGTACTCTTAGGTATAAATTGATAAATTCTACATATTAGAAAAATGTATAAGAAAATTACTTCCATTGTTTTGAGACTAATTTCCTTAAAATTACACTACTTAAAGTAATGTAATGACCTGTCTAATACTATTTTATATATCATTTTCCACCAGACCCTATTTAAAATCATTGGAGAAGATAGTATTTTTAAATGAGGTGCATTTGGTTTGTTCAATTCAGCTCTCGGTAAGAATGCTAAATTTGTTTACCTGGATATATGGCTTTTGTGTTTTTTTTAAAAATGCTATGCTGTAAATATCATAAAAAACAAATATCACCTTGTCAAATGCTTGCTTGATGCATGTACCTCCATTTCATTACTTTTGTATTCATTTAATTCTTTACGAATTGCTGCCTGAAATTAAAGATAGGATATTGCATTTCAGAACATTCAAAAGTTAACAGAGGAAATCAGTTATGTTTATGGATTAACATTAATACTTGCTGTTTGGTAATACATAGAAAAACTTTTTCATTCAACATTTAGACTGTCTTACTCCTTTTTATAGTCCTACTAAGGTAGTAAGGAGTCAGACCTGTGGAAGTCAGTAGTTTGCTGTGCTGGAGTAGCAGATAGCCCTTCCCGCACTAACAAGTGAACCACCACATGCTTAAGGCACTAATGAAGTAGGGACAGCAAAACAATGTGCAGAGTTCAGCTTTTGGTGAACATGGACTTTTGCATGACAATCTAGATAATCCAGAAAGAAATTATTCTAACTTCAGCATGTGAGTTTTGTGACATTTGAATAATAACATTTTATTATTATCCTGATGGGTGGGGCATGCATCATGATGTTTTCAGTTATCCAGGGCCTGATCTTGCTGCCCCCTCCTTGAGCTTCCCAGGCCCACTTTCCTTTTAAGATGTGTGTCTCAAATAAACCCTCTAGGGCCAAGTAGGACAAGAGCATCAAACATAGCCTCTGCAACAAGGAAAGCCTTTTGAATTTAGAATTTTGGGGGCATATTTTTTTCCCCATACTTGTATCTTTGGAAGCTAATGTGTTCATTTCTTATCACTATGATCCTCTAAGCAAATTAACCCTAACTAACCAAGAGTCAGTCCAAATTCAGCATGACAGCATTCCTCTAAATTGATACAACACCTATGAACATTTATAAATGCACACATTCATAATAAAGAATGAAAAACAATTACAAATTCATTGGCTGAATATTTAATCCTCCTTGTCCTAAAACCTGTAATCATTCTGAAAGTTGCTACAGGCATGCAGGTGTGGTTGAAAGCTGATACAGACACACTCCTGGACCTAAATCCTGCCRGTCATTAGCACTTGACCATGGACAAAAACTTACCCACACTGCTCAGTAAATGTCCACTCCCCTCCTGCACCCCAGACCTACCGTGACAGACTGCCTCCTTGCTCTCTGAAAATTAAGTTCAAACTCCTCAGAGGGTTCCCAGAGACATCTCAAGCTGCACAAGTCCAGGAACAAATCCAGAACCTCTGTATCTACTTCCTGAAATCCTCAGATGGATTCCATTCCTCTTTGTCCAGTTACAACTTATTTTGTTAAAACTCATCTGACTTATGCCAGCCTTGCATATTTCTGATTCATCCTCCAGACCAAGGCTTCTCAATTGACACATTCTTGACATTTGGAACTAGATAATGCTCTGTGTATTATGGGACRTTTAGCAGGATCTCTGGCYTCTATTCATTAGATGCCAGTAGCACCCAAATTGTGACAACCAGAATTGTCTCGAGACACAACTGTCCCCAAGTTGAAAACCACTGCTCAACTCTGACCCTGAGCTATCTTTGTGAAGCCAACATGTAGTCAAAGAAAAGCTTTAAAAAARTGGCTGCCATTACATAAGAATAAGCTCCCTGCATGGCAGGTTTATTGTTCTTAGGAGACACCACACCCCAACCAGCACAGGCAATTCTGTACCTTATCTGCAGCCGACAGTCTKGTCCAGGGCTTGTCTGCTCTCCTGTCATAGTCCTGTGCTTTAGCTACTTCCACATAATCGCTGAAACGTATCAGGATTTTTCTGTCTCTTAATTCATCAACAGTGGGTCTCTGATTAAGCTAAAGTAAAAGATTATGATAGGTATCACATGACAAACTAATTTTGAAATATAATATAATCCAAATACAATCTAACRTACACAGCTTAAATTATATGTTCTTAAATCACATCTCCCTTCTTCCAACACATTTTTGAGGATTCCCACCCCTGATAGTATGTAGCACAGAATCAAGGACTGGTTGATAAATTGACTCAGAATAAATTTTACAGCACCAGCACCATTAGATAATCTCTTTTTAAATTACTGACAATGTTATGCAGACTCCTTCCTAGTACTATACATCAAGCTCAGKAAGTATATTTTATTAATTTTGAGCAGAAAAAAGTTCATTGTGATCATGGAGCACAGTGGAGAGGCAAAACAGAACTGCTGAGTTTAGAAAAGGTCTGCCTTTCCAGAGGAGACTGCATGCACAAGCCCTGACACTAGTCCAGTCTGCAGGCAGGGAGCTTTCAGACATACTTCCGCATACATTCGGCAACCAGAAAGGGGAAAACAGTCTGGAAAGTACCACRCCGATACCCAGGTGTGTTCCTATTAGACATCATGTAAGTTAAGAAAGCACTCAGTCAGCTTCTGGTCTGCCTGGATCAGGTGGTCATGTCTWGATTCTGCTGCCTTTCCAGCCTGCCCACTGTGCTAGGCAAGGATTCGTCCAGGGTCCCCATCCAGACACTGGTAGTGGCAAAAGACACTGCCCTTTGTGTTGTCTTGGTGAGTTGATTGTTGCTGAGTGAACACCTGATTTAGCTTGTGCCATGCTTGGGTGGTGTCTTAGGTTACCCATACCCATTGCTGCAGGAGAGCTTCTCTCTAGTTCACCTATTTTTGTTGTTAGTTCAGGAAATAAAATACTTCAATCATAATACCTTTCTTGTTAATCTTTGCTTGATTTCTCTTCTTTCTTCCTGCTCTGTCTGATCATTCCTTTCTGTGAAAGATTAAAACAAACAGATGGAGACTTTTTTTTTGGTAGAGAGGTACACTGAAGATCCCCCTGGCCCTGGTCTTGAAGGAGGATGTCAAGGAAACTTTGGGGTTGACACTTCTCCATATCACATTTTCCCACTTTGTCTTTTTCCAGGGGGCCCATCATTGCTCAGGAATCACAGTCTGATTGTTACACAGAACCATCCCAGCCTGGTTCCCCTCTGCCCTACCTCTGTATCAGAAACAGCCACAGATATTGTGCTGTTTTCCTGTTTGCTGGAAGCAGGTCTGTCTCTATCCTACCCAAATCTCTCTGTATATTTATGTCTAGGAACACAGATGGCACACAGAGCAGCTGCTATAGAGTAAGTCGAGGTTTGCGTGCCTTTGACTGTAAACAGCACTCTCACTCCTTGCTTTTTGGTTTTGCCATTTCACAGGTGCCATAACTCAGCAATTCAACATAAGATATGGCATACTTTCCTTCAGCTCTGGGCAGCATATGCTCACCTGGAATGAGTCTTTTCAAGGTATATTTCAAGCCTGAACACACAGACACCTGATTCACTTTTGCTCAAGCATGCAAACAATTCTGTGAACAGTGCCTTTGAGAGGAGCCAGGTTCCTCACTGAAACTAACTGTGCTTGTGAGTTGTGACTATTAACACCCACACTGTGCTTAMGCCCACTCTGGAAGCTAAATATAGACCAGAGTGCTAAGATATAGAGTACAATGTATGTTGTGCCCTGGGACACAAGATAATGGTGCCCTATTTCTGGTGCTCTGTGTTGCTAAATAAAGCCACAAGCCCCAGAAGGGCTTCCCTCCTGAGGAGATTCCCAGCYACCAGCGCGCTGAGAAACACTGCCAGTTTGGGGATGGGAATTCCTGCTACTTGCAGTTAACAAGATTTTATGTCATCTTCCTTTATTTAAAAGATCCATTTGAGGGATTGGTATATGGGTGTCTAATATGTCAGAAATTGCACTTCTCAATAATTTTTTTTAAAAAAGAGTCTTATATTAGAGCATTTTAGAAAAGGAAATAAAACCCTATGATTGCTTGGTTCTTTAGCCAGAGGAAAAAAATTAGCTATGATTAGAAAGTGGATGATATAGTTAAAAAAGAAGTGTGCAAGATTCAGATATAAGACCAGCCATGTTGGATTTAAGTGATATGAATGTAATTTATCAAATTTCAGGCCACAGACAAACCCCAAGAACAGCCTCCACATGGGRTCGGGGGAGCTAGCAAAATCAGAACTTTGTTGTTACCAAGGCCTGTGAGTGAGGCAGGGTCATTGGGAGGTGATCATTGAAAGACCTGTCAGACTGTTCTCTGCTTCAGGTATAAGTGAGTCACCTGCTCCAAGAAGTCCCTCCTGCCAGCCTAAGCGCCCACGCCTCCCCCGCAAGTGACCTTAGCAACATGTATGTGAGCTTTTTCTTTGCAGAACTAGAAGGCCTTATATAAAGTGGGTCCATAGGCAGGATCTCTACACCCAGCCTTGTGGGAAGCCACTCCAGCCACCTGGACAGTCGTAAGTTGTCTTCCAAGSATGTTTAGGAATGTGCAGCTTCTCCTCACACAGTGGTTAAGAATACCGCTAATAGGGCAAGGCACACCTGGGGCTRGACTCGAGTTCTGTCCTGCAACGGTAATTTGCTAAAGCATCACACTTCCTCTCAGACCTCAGGACAACCTCACATGCTGTAGTAAAGACTGAATGTACGAAAAGCAAGGCTGGTACACCTGGGCCYACTAGAGAATCACTGTGGTCATGAACAAAGGGGCCCGTGCCTCGGGCTCTGCTATCTATGAACACACAGGCAGAGTTCTAAGTGTCCCATAGCTATGACTGCAATTAGTCATGAGTTCCCAACCTGAAGAAGCAAATGTAAAGTTATGATAACTTAGATTTGATTACCAGCAGAAATGCCTTCTGGTGTGAGTGGCATACATGTGTCAAGGGCTCCGTGAGTGTGTTGCTCTGTACTGGGCCTTGTGTGGCTACCCTGTTCTCATTCCCACAGAACAAGCACACAGACCACCCATACAACCCTAGTGGTGAGCTTCTCAGGTCCTTCCCTCAGGACACTTGAGAAGGCTTCTGAGCTACGAACCGACCGGGTTCAGTGATAAAGGTGCGGTTTTACGGCAGCATTGCCATGACCACTGCAGAGAAGTCCATTTCCCTTTGTGCACAGAAGGAAAGTGTGATCAGTTCCAGCTGTGCACTCACTAGCCCTCTATTCACAGCACAGTTCTATTTTTAAGGGTTTAACATTCACAAAACATAACACAACTAGAAGCGCTTGCTGGTGGGAGGACCTGGCTGCCCATGACAGGAGAGAGGCCAGTGTGGACAGGAAGAAGGACTCTGGTAGGCAGCATCTCTAGTGTCTCTTCCTGTTGTGGGCAACAGGCTGCTGGGAGCATGGCACTTCCCGGCTACGACTTACTGAACTAATACTAGCAATGGCATCGGTGGCTTCCACACATTTATAAACAAGTGGCTCTGGTTCTTTAAATCCTGAATATTTGAGAACAAACAGCTTTTCTGTCTACCTACTTGATTATGCCTGGCATCAGTGCAATCCTCARACATCGCCCACCGTAGTTGCCATTTCTTCATTTAAAAAATAAAACGAGTAATTTTTAATTATTAATCTTTAGGGTTAAATATTTTTCAATGACAGAGAGAGAGTTGCTTTGGGCAGCTAATGAAGGCATTGAGGCCAAGAAAGGGGAGGGATCACCAGAGTGCAGGGCCCCAGCTGGTCTTAGAACTACTAGAACTTTGTAAAGAGATGTTTGCAAACAAAAACCAAACCCAAGGAACCTTTGCAGTGTTCATCACATAACAAGAAAAGAAAAACTTTCTCATGCTATACAATTGGCCCTTAGGAGACACTTCTTTATGAAAAATGTTTGAAAAATTGAAATCTGTTGACCAGGTGAAAAACATACCGAGAAGCACTGAAGGAGTTTTAACACCCAAACACCAGAGACTTTAACGACACAGAACTCTGTGTGGATGGAGATTACCCATGGACACCTGTGTTCAGCACAAGATTTAATTACATGCTTTCCTGGGGAAGCTCCAGGCCCGAGCAACATAGAATCTCAAAGTGCTGACCCTCTAGAGAGTCCTGTGGCTCCCTACTCCTTTCAGTGGCCTGCTTTATTCTCTTGAGTGTGTAAGACTTGGGACCTGGGCTAGTGATCTCCTTGGCCGTGGGGACCCCCATCCACCACACCCATCAGCTTTCCTACTCCCGACTCCTGGGGCCCAGGGGAACCACAGAGCCAGCTGGGTTAGCAGCCTCAGCACGTGAAGGAACCCTCCAGAGGAATCCTCAGCTACTCACGTTTCAGGATATTTCTTCTCTCCAGCTCCTCCACGGCAGGTCTTTGGCTCAGCCGTCTGCGGAAAAACACTAGAATTACATTTTGCACCATGGTGCTGCCTGCAAATTTCACCCCAGGTCCAGGCAGGCGAGGGTGGCTGGCACACCCCTGGAGATGGCCTCTCAAAAAGTGGAAGGAGAGAGAGTGAACCTTTGTTGCCTCTTGGTGGCAAAATCAAGTCAAGCTCCCAGGCGGGAGGGAGGGCTGTCCTTGCTCCAACTCCAGGGGTCCAGGTCTTCCTTTCCCGGCCTCCTCACCCAAAGCTTGCCAGGAGTGTCCATTCAGAAAATCCCTCCTCTGGCCCCCCAGCTGGGGGAGGGCAGGTGGCGCCACCTGTCTCCAGGCTTCTGGCTCTGGAGATGCCCAGAGCTCCACACGGCCCAGCCCAGCCCTGCCATCAGCCCAGGCACCAGCCCGCAGCGGCTCCCCTCCAAGCAGCCAGCACCGGGGAGTGTCTAAGGACGTCTGAGGGCGTCCCCCCCTTGTCAGTGACGCGCCCTGCCAGTGCTCAATAGGAACTGGGAATCTCCTCTGAGAGCCAGCCCACCGCCGCCGCTCCCCTCCCCTCCTTCTCCACGCGGAGCCGCTGTGCCGCTTGCTTCTGAAGACAAATCCTTATTTCCTTTTTCAAATGGCCTCTCACATGGGGACTTGGAGAATGCAGCCAAAGAAAGAAAAAATAAAACCCCAGCACACATAAACAAAGGCTTTTGTCAGGAGTGGGAGGCATAATTAGCCAAAATTAATGTTAGTTACAAAAATAATTGGAGTCTCCGATAATGTTGTCCTTGGGTCAGAGCCAGACAATGTCCCACTTCCGGATCCTTTAGCCACCGCAGGGAGGCAACAGGGCCAAGGCTTTGAATACCCAGAATTTGGGGCCATAACATTTTGCCCCAGTGAGGATGTTGCCTCCAAAAATAAGCCTCTGATTTACCGCCTGTCCCAGCACAAAGCCCAGCCGCCCTCCACTCTGCAACCCAACAGTTTGCTCTSGCCCCCAGGGGCTTCATGTGTCTTTGGTCTCTGTGGGTGGTGGCTCCTGCAGCTTGTCTGATGTTCCCCGAGATGTGAACTGCCCCGACAACTGGCTGGAACCCAGGGAAGAGGGCCTTCTCCATCTGTCCCCAGCCAGGCAGGCAGAGCCTAGCTCACTGAACCTTGCTCCCCGCTGTCTGGCCCTAACCCCCCACATGCCCTTTTCTGATCAGTCAGCAAGTAACTGTGGACTATTGCTCATGCCGGGCACTGTTCCAAGCCCCCAGAATACGGCCTGAGCAGAGGAGCCTTCCTGCCCTTGGGAAGCCCCCAGTCCCAGGAACATCAGACAAAGCACCACCATTTCAGAGAGGCCATGCTATGGGGGAGAGAAGACCTGGGTGCCAGGGGGGAAGGCGAGGGGGCCTGAGGAGACACMTTTCCACTGAGACCTGCATGAGGAGCCAGTGGGGGGAAGGTCACTCCTCCCTGTAGACAGTGGTCACCGAGTTAAAGACCAAGAGGGACCGAGGCAGGCTTCAGAAGAGAAAACTTCTGCATTGTGCAGAATCCACATTGGAGGGGGTGGGTGAGTGCGCAGAATGGAAGGCCCTTGGAGATGGAAGGAGATGAGGAAGAGAGGAAGTCAGTTGTTGGGGTGAGCTTGCACATAGTGGGGAGCCAGTGAAGGTTGCTGAGGAGGCAATGAAGTGGTCAGCTCTGCAGCCTCTGGGCTCAGGAAGACCAGGCTCCCTCCTGAAGTGTTCAAGAAACAGGTCGCCCCCAAGGACAGTTAGGTGGTGTGGCAGAGCAGTGGCACATAGGCATTGGAAGCAGGCGGACAAAAGTTTGGGACTCAAGTCTGAGGCATGTAACTTCTCAGCTCTGTGTCCTTGGGCAGGTTACTTCTCTGAGCCTTATCTTCTCCTCCACAATGAGGACTAAACCACAGATCTCCACGGAGTGGTGAGAATCAGATGAGATCATGCACAATGGTGTTTTATAAAACACAGACTTGGAATTTGGGGATTTCTTTAGAAATTATTTCAAGGGTGTCTGAAAATAAAGAGCACAAGGTCTTTATCAATTCCTTCCCAGATGTCACGCCCTCAATTCACACCTTTTCTCTGAGTTTKTGGGTGCGCAATCCCCAGCACCACAAATACATGAAGAGCACTCCCAGCAGGCTCTTCTCTGGCCGGCCCAACTGCTCCTCCTCTGCAGCAGCGGCTGCCCACGCACAGGTCTCCTGTCCATCTCAGGGTTGAGAGGCTGCAGAGGCCACAGGCGAYGACACTCACTGCCCTGGTCAGACCCCCATCAGTTACCTGCGCCCCGTCCCCCGGGGCCGGCGGCACTGGTGCAGCCCYGGTGGCCACTCAGCACCTTGGCCAAGGCTTGGTGTTGCCAAGTCTGCRTCCCAGCACCAGCACTGACCACTGTGGCCCCGGGTAAGCCACAGACCCTTGAATGATGTGCACAGCGAGGGTGTGGGATTCTTCCTTCCCAGAGGTCCCAAGCACATGAAATGAGGTGACTGATGAGGAAGATTTCTCCTGGGGCCAGAGTTGTGGTGACTAACAAGCGAAGGGCCATGTAGCTTTTGCTGTGATCACCATCACGCTGTGACCACTGTGGTGATTAGGTTATTAATAAGCATTTGGGATTGTATGGAGGCACTTGAAAAATAGCGGCATATCTTCCCCAACTCCACACACAAAACCCTGGGAAGAAAAATGTCCGTTCAATGGCACTTAAAGACCTGGGGCTGGCTCAATGCACCCCACGTCTGAGCCCCTGTAGAATGGGAACGGCGAGAGAGCCTGCTACTTACTGGGTCTGAGTGACAAGGACTAGGGGTTCCCCATCCACCTGCATGGCCCCAAGCTGGCTGCGGATGGGTAGAGGCTCAGGGAGGCAGCTGCAGGGGCTCCTGGGGCTAGAACCAAACCCAAAGCTGGTTCGTTCCAGAAGCCACTGCAGACACTAGCTAGCAGGGACAGGGTGAGAGGCCGGGCTAGTCAAGACAGAGAGAGGGCTGTCGCCTGGGCGGCAAGGTCCAGGCAGGGGCACAGTGAACCCTGGCTGACAAGCAGTGCCAGACAGATGTGGGCATCCTGTGGGTGAAGTCACAGCCCAGRAGGAGGAGGTCAGGCTGAATTGGGACCTCCTCTGAGGTCCTGAAGCTCCATGAAATGAGACCCCATGGCCGCGGGTGAACACCCACTCTGGATGGGGGAACAGGTGAGCTCCTGTCCCTGAACCACTCTGCATATTCAGGACAGCCACACAGCTGAGTGTCCATGGCTTGGGTCTGGGGAGCAAGGAGTGCCCAGAGGACCAGGGAGAAACAGCTGGGAGCAGAAGAGGCCAAGGGCCCGAGCGGAGGGGATAGTAGCACCCAGTGGCCCGAGGGATTCCCCAGCACTCCCCTCTCCTACTTCAGAGATCCACYGCCCATGTGCAGCTGCCGCTGATGCTGGGGAAGCCGCGGGCTATTTCTGACTCTCTCGGCACTGGAAAAGCCCAAGTGTGGCAGCTGATTGCAGTGCCATGCAGGGTGGGCGTGAACCAAGGAAGAAATGCCAAGGACAGAGCAGCATCCACCCACGCGCACACAGGAGAGGGTGGCAGGGAGGCCGCAGGGTGGGCCGGGCAGGGGAACCAGGACTCAAACAGGAGTCAAAGGTGTCCAGTACCACGAGGGCGCCACAGGGCATCCAGGTGCTGCTGTGTGGCAGTCACCATGGGGCCTCAGGGGCTGTGGGGACAGGATGCCAGCCCCACGGGGGCTTTCTGGGTCCATCTGCCTTCCCACTTGCCTCCTGTGGTGGTCACCTACACACCTGACCTGCACTGTTAACCAAATAGGACAGAGAAGGGGGGGCGGGGGGGGCGGGGAGAAGGAGGGGAGGAGGAGGAGGGGAGTAGGGGAGGGGGAGGAAGAAGAGGAGAAAGGAGGAGGG